TGGGTGGGGCAGGGAGGAGCTACGGTGCATTTCTTAGATTTTGGGGTGGATGGGAGCCCAAGTGGAGCCTTGAGGTGCACTTTGCTGGTTCCCTCCTTGTCTTCGTCCTCCCTGCCATGGTCTGCAGGACTTGTGTGATGCTGGGGTGCTTTCCCCGGCGTCCGTATCCAGCCAGTGTCTGCAGTGGTGCCTGCGCTGGGCACTCAGAGCCCTGAGTGTCATCCATGGGTGACTGCTGCACGTGAACCAGCACAGAAGAACTGAGAGGAGCTCTGGGGTGCGGGCTACACCCCAACAGTCGAGTTTTCACTGGAGCCAGGGTAGTGGTCCCCAAGCGCCCCCTGGTGGCCAGGAGCCAGAGCACCCAGAGATCTTGGCCCTAGGGAGCTGTGCCTCTTGTGGAGTGCCAAGAAAGGGTGTCTGCTCTGCTCTTTGGGGCCCAAGTCCTTCCATGCAGCAGTCTGGGGTGAGAGTCTGGGCTTTCTCTAGCCCCTCTGTGCCAGCTCCCACGCCGGCCAGAGGTTCTGACCCAAGGAGCCTGTGAGCTTGGGAGCCCCTAGCCCTAGAGGGTTGCAGGGGTCACAGGCAGGCGATGGCTTAGGAGTCTCGAGGCCCTGGGAGCCTAGTGGGGCTCATGGCTGTGCAGATCATGTGTGAGCGCTTCCCCTTTGTACAGCCCCACTGTCCTCACACCTGAGACCAGGAAAGCTGAGGTGGCCTCCTTTTTTAGGGAGTGGCCTCCAGATCTTCTCTGCTCCTGTGGAGCTTCTAAGGAGTGTGCCCTTCCGCCATGTGCCTGGAGTGAGCTCGAGGATCCAACCATGGTCATGTGTGGGACTGAGAGGGGAAAGCCATGGGGTGGGGGCCAGCGTGGAGGTTGTTGGCTTTATAGGAAGTTCTTAGGTGCCAGGGGCTGTGAGAGCCACACAAAAAATAGCAAAGGAGGGGACCTTAAATCAAACTGAAGTCATGTGGGGACACCGCACACTCCCAGCTGGGCTGTGCAAAGGCAGGGTGGCCCTGTCTTCCCTTAGGGAACCTACCGCTCCTCCCTGCCCCCTCTCTGTGTCAGCTCAGGGCATGACCTGCCCTCCCCCTGAGGCTCATCACCCAGTGCTTCTGTGACCCCTGACCAGGTCCCAGCCTGCCCACTGCTTTCCCAGCAGTTTCACATTCTGGAAATGGCCCTGCAGAGCTCCCATGCGGGCCAGGCCCAGACACTCGAGGAATGCTTGGCTGGGGCGGCAGCACCATTGACGGTGATGCGTCCCGGGGTCAAGTCCCCATCGCTGACTGCTGGCAAGCTCAGCTCCAGCATCCAGAGCTGCATTCCCTCTGGGATTTGTAGCCTGGCCTGGAAGCTGGACTCTTAAGGCCCTAGAGGATGGAAGGACACCACCGACACAGGACCACATCCAGGGCAGAGTCTTCCTGCTGGGGATACCCTCGGGGCGCCACCCGGGACCCCATCCTGCCGGAGTCTGTGCCCCAAGAGGCCTCTGGAGTGTATGCACGGCACACATTGAGCCTTGGGCCGGGCTGTGGCTTGGGGTCCCACTCCCCAGTTTCACTACGGCCCAAGCTGTGCTGTGTGGCACTGATGGCCCTGTGGTGGGGATGGCTGTGCTCTGTTTTCCAGGCTGAGCCTGCCCAGGTGTCCGGTCCCTGTGCAGAGGGGACCCCGAGGTTGCTGGCCCCTGGAAGGATGCACAGTCACATGCATTTCCATGTGGAAAATCAGTCCAAGCTTTGACGTAAGCTCAGGGCTCCATGTGGGCTGTTGGAACACCATGGTGGGACCTTTGATGATGCACTCACTATCTGGTGGCTGCTCGGTTTGGTTATCCTCTGTGTTCCTACAAAGCAGCAGTAAGTTGTCAGTGATTATATCCATCAGGGCAAGAGGCTGCTGTGCTGCCCTCAGCGGGGCTGGCGTCTTGAGTGGGTTTCCCATCTGGATATAAAGGGAGATAGATCCATGGTACCACTGCATTTCCCACCCGGATATAGAGGGAGATAGATCCATGGTACCGCTGGTTCCCACCCAGATGTAAAGGGAGATAGATCCATGGTACCGCTGGTTTCCCAAACCTGAGCTTGATTCTATAAGCGTGGAAAGAAGGGAGATGACGGGGTTATGAAAGAGCCTTTTCTTCCCACCTTTGATGGATTCTTTAACAGTGTATTCTTGCTGCAGATGCTTTGGTAGACAAACAATCCAGGCTGTTCTGTGCAAGGAACCCCATTTCATGCCTAATTTAGAGTGGCTGATTTCAGCCCAAGCTTATTGGCCATGCTTTGCCCACTCATCTTTATAGACAAAGTCATTTTCTTTTCTTTCTTTCTTTTTTTGGGGGGGGAGGTGTGTGTTTTGAGACAGGATCACCCTATTGCAGTTCAGGCTGGTCTTGAGCTCACTTTGTAGCCCAGGCTGGTCTCGAACTTACAACGATCCTCCTGCCTCAGCCTCCCGAGCGCTGGGATTTTGGGCATTGCCACTATGCCTGGCTCTTCATAGATTTTTTTTTTAAACAATTTCAATTGGCTTTAAATTTGTCCATATATCCAAAATGACTTTTGAGACCATAGGTTTATGGATTTGGCTTATTTATTGGCCGATGACATTGGGGCACATTGATTTGGTACAGTGAAGTCACTTGGTGCACGTATCCTGTGTGTGGTGTTCAGCTCAGGATAGGGGCATCTCTACCACCTCAGGTACATGTTGTTCCTGTGGCGGAAACCCAACTGTCTTTATTTGGCCAACTGGAAATCACAGTGAGGTAGCTACCAAGGAGTGTCTCCAGGCCCCCTGGCCTGCCGGTTCCCATCCCCAGGGGCAGTGGTGTGACATTACTCATCCGCCTCTCTGGACAAAGATTTGGAAAACCTAATGAGTCTCATCCAGGGAGGGCTCACTTCCTCTGCAGCTACCTCCTGTCAGAGCTCCTGGGGTCTGTGGTTGCCTAAGAGCTCCTGGGACATTCGGGAAAGAATGTATCCTTGCTGTGAGAGCAGCGCTGGGAATTCAGAGTTCCTGCTCTGACCCCAGGGTGGGAAGGTCACCATGATGACAATGTCAGAATCCAACTTTCCCTATCTGGGAAATGGACATAAAAGGGCCACTGCCCAGGCCGGCGTGTTGCTGCTGGGAACAGCCTGCTCCAGTGACCTAGTGAGGCCGGATGCAGAGTGAGCTGACCTCATTTCTATTTCTGGCTTCTGTGCTGACTCAGTGAGAGGCTGGTAGAAATCAGTTCATCTGGCCCTGGTCCCCCTGCGCTCCGCATCGGAATGAGAATTATAAAATCTTATCTTCCCTGCCTGCTGGCTGAGCTGCCAGTATTAATTAAATACTTGAACTGCTCCACCCAAGGCACTGGAAGGCTCGTGCCTGTCTCGTTTCCTTCCTACTGTGGCACGTGTCAGATTACTTGGGAACAGGAGATTCAGGGTTTATTTTAAGGTTTGGCCAGCCATCTGCAGGTCAGTTCCACGTGGAGGAAGATTGTCCAGCCCTGGAAATCTGGTGCCCGGCCCGTGCCGTGCTCCGCTGCAACCCCTGTGCTGCCCAAGTTCCTGCTGCTGCTGCCTCCTTAGGACGCACATGACTGGCTCGCTCCCCATGGCAGGAACCGCCTTTGGAGATGCTTCTCTTTCTGGGTGCTCCCAGGGCTGCAGGGAGAGAGAGCCAGCTTCTGGTGTCAGGTCTCAAGAGGGCTCCGGGGATGTCAGGATGGAGGGCTTCCGTTCCTTAAGTCCCTTTACAATCCTTCCTGTCCCCTGGGGTCTGAAGTCCCCGCCCTGAGTCTATTCCCAAGTGGCATCAGGACCCCGATCTGCACTCCAGGTGGACATCGCCCCATGGGGCCATGGCTGGTGTGCAGTTGGTGACTGTGCTGTGGGCCAGGATCCACTTGTTAGAGCCTGGACGACCAGGTGACCTGGCAGAGGGCAGTCTTGTTTCAGGTCAGTGATGTCACATTAGCTCCCTCCTCAGTGAGTCCTGGTAATGCTCTGTCTGATGGTGAAGCATCTGTGCTATTTGACACACAACTGTGAGCTCACACAGCTCAGAGTGAAGCACAAACATGTAATCACGTGCCAGCACATAATCACGTCAAGTCTTGTGCCAGGGATTGCATATGGGTACTTCAGGCTCTCAGGGGCTCCAGACAGAGCAGAACTCCCCGAATAGGACCCAGTGTCCATCTTCAGACACATGCCTTGACTAGTGCAGTGTCCACTGTGCCCAGAGGGTGGGGCCAGAGTCAAGGTCACAGAACAGGACAGCCAATGAGTGGACTGGAAGAAGGAAGGATAGAGGGGAAGAGGCAGACAGAGGGGAGAGGAGGTAAGAAGGAAGGATGGAAGGATGGATGGATGGATGGACAGATGGATGGATACATAGATAAGCAGATAGATGAATGGATAGATGGGTAAATGGAAGGAAGCATGGATGGATGGATGAATGGGTAGATGGATGAATGGAAGGAAAGATGGATGGATGGATGGATGGATGGATGGATGGATGGATGGGTAGGTGAATGGATGGGTGGACAAGCAGGAATTTGTTACCAGAACTATAATTGTGGAGACAGCAAAGTTCTGCCATCTGTGACCTGCAACCCAGAGGCCCGGGGAAGCCTGTGGGATAACTAAGGCCAAGCCCTAAGGCCAGGGAGGCTGGGGGTCCCTAAGTCTGAGGCTGGGATTGTGATGTCCAGGCTGGGGGAGAGAGGGGTCCGGCCCGGAAGAAGGCCAGAGTCCACACTTCTCTACTTTCCTGCTGGTGCGCGAGCAGAGTGGTCTGCCTTCCTTGGGTCCTGGCTTGGGTGCCGCCTCTGCCAGAAATGCCTGCAGACACACCTGGGTCGCTCTACTGCCCTGGAGACGTCCCCAGCCTGGCACCATAGCCCCTAACCTGCCTGTCCCCCAGGGCCACTACCTCTCCTCCCCTCTTCCCTACCCTCTGCTTGACACATGTGTCCTTCCTGCAGGGAGAGAGAGGCCTCCCGGGACTGCAGGGTGTCATTGGGTTTCCTGGAATGCAGGGACCTGAGGGGCCACACGGACCTCCAGGACTGAAGGTGAGCCCTGTGGCAGCTTTGGGGGTTGGGGGGACTGGGGTCCGCCGTTCTCTGGGTAGCGAGCACTGTGATGCATTTTGTTCTGTTGCAGGGTGACACCGGAGAACCAGGGCTTCCCGGCACAAAAGGCACGCGAGTGAGTATGGTGGTGGCTTTGCCTCTGGGGCCCAGGGGGCTCTTTTGGGGGTTCTGGACAGACAGTGAGAACTGTTTAGGGACAGATTTCTTCAGGTGCAGTGTGGAGGTTTCTCCCCCAAGTCCCTAGAACTCCGTGCGTGTTTGATAGAGCAGTGGGGGTTTGTATCACTCTTAACCTTGACATTACAGAAGGTGAAGTGGGCTGGTCTTGTGGTGCACGTGCATCCTGAATGCTCACGGTCAGCCATGGGTGTGGAATTGCCAGCGCTGCCCTGGGCCAGGCAGCAGATGTGTTGCCCGGGCTGGTGCTAGCCGCTTTCCCAGCATGCTCTACTGAGTGGGCGTGAGCTGACCCCAGTGGTCACTCCACGGTGCCAGGGACTGAGGGGGTGTGGGCAGGGCCTACATGGGATCCCTGGGCTCATCACAAGGCATCCATTTCCCTCCTTACAGGGGCCCCCAGGAGCATCCGGGTACCCTGGAAACCCAGGACTTCCGGTATGTATCTGGACTGCCTTCTGCTCTGTAATGAAGTATGTTAGCATCCGTGAGATTCTAACCTCGCTCCCTCTGTTCTTGGTGAATTACAGGGTATACCCGGCCAGGATGGTCCCCCGGGACCCCCTGGAATCCCAGGATGCAATGGTACAAAGGTAGGTGCGGAGATGGGCCCCTCCCCGCCACAGAGTGGTGTCTGGCAAAGCCCGGTGCCCGCTGGCCAGCCCGGAGGCGGCTTCTTGTTCAGCTTTCTTTGCTTCAAGAAAAGCCTCTCTGTACAGCTTCACATGCCGGAGACGCAGTCCTGCTGCATCCTGTGGACTTTCACTAAAGTCCTTTGAACACCGAGCTCATTGGCTATAATCATTATTAAACCAAGTAGGCAATAACACTAAGAACTGTCATCCCCGTGTGACACGTGACACCCAGGATAGTGCTCACGCGTTAGGCAAGAGCACACACAGTTCTCTAAGGAGCAGGACAGAGCTGCCGCATGGCGTGCAGCGGGAGCTGTCTCTGCTGTCACAGATGCGAATGACTCTCTGCTGTCCCCCAGGGTGACAGAGGACCAGCTGGGCCCCCTGGCTTGCCTGGGTTCACGGGAAACCCGGTGAGTATGGGCTGCTCACAGCCACACGGCCTTTCTATGCTCATCATTTCTTGCCGTTTTTCGGTCCTTCTGTCTTAGTGCTAGTGATATGTTGAGAAAAACATAACTAACATTGGAACTCTTTTCTAGGGACCACCAGGACTCCCAGGGATGAAGGTAGGCTTCATTTGATTCTGACTACTGATTCACCGCAGGGAATCAAGTGCACAAGGGATGACCGAGAAACTGTGCACCTTGCACTGCGGCCCCTCTGCCTTCCAGCACATTCTCCTGGGTTCTGCTCTTTCGGGGAATCTGAGTCATGGACTTGGGCTTAAGCTTTTGAGTCCAGCCCCGGCCTGGTGCAGTCCCTGCCTGGAAAAGACCCTGTGTCCAGGGCCCCCGCCTTGCTGAGCTGGGCGGTGGCCACAAGGCCAGGGTGGTCCCGCCCATCACTCTGTCACTCAGCATAGGACAGTCCCAGGCCCTCCTGCCCGGGTTTCCTGTGGATTCTGTCTCCACTGAGGGAAACCGTACCCTGATTCTCCTCCTTTCTCCTCCCTCTCTCCCTGCCTCTGGGCTCTGCTCCTGCTCCTCCCTTCACTCCTCTCCTCTCCTTCCTCTCCTTCCCATCCTTGCCGCACTCATCTCATGGGATCCAGGTCCTCGGCACTACCCAGCCCATCGCCAGCCGGCTGTCCCCAGCACTGGGACAGGGCATCTGCCTGGGTGTGGAAGCGAGTCCCCAGTGCTGGCCCCTGTCTCTGCCCCAGCTGGCTGGGGGACCACAGCCTCTGTGCTCTGTCATCCTGGCCTCGATTTATACCCTGGCTCACTACTGTGAGGGCAGCTGTGTTTGCTCGCTGGCAGAGTGTCCTCTTCCTCTGGGGAGGCCACTTGTGTCCCTTAGGGCTTCCACGGCTGGGGTGATGCCACCATGGCAGGAGTCACCTGTTGGAGTCAGTGTCTGGCTCTGTCAATTCCGTGCCAAACACACCTTCTTGGTGGCATCTTGACTATGGTTGGACCAAACAACCCAGCTGGGTTGACAGGTGACATCCACTGTCATGCCCTGCTTTTAGGAAGATCTGAACCGCATCCCCCCGCAGCAGTCCTGACATGAGATTGCTGGTGCATGGTCACTAGTCCTGCCCCATTGCCTCTCTGTCTTCAGTGTCCCCAGGAGCGTCCTGGAGGGGCCAGAGCTGGGCACTGTCTTCACCTGAGACTTTGCCTGAGGCCTGGACCTGGTGGCCTCAGTGCCACCCTAGGGGAGCCTGCCTGGCTTGGTGGGTTTTAGATTCTGAATGTATGACTGTGGCAATTGACAGCTTTCTCTTCCTTCCCACCCTGCAGGGAGACCCAGGGGAGATACTCGGCCATGTGCCCGGCATGCTGTTGAAAGGAGAGCGAGGGTTTCCGGGACCCCAGGGGATGCCCGTAAGTGCCTGTCCAGCTGCCTTGGGAGGGGCAGTGGAGTCACCGCCAGCTGGCCTGCTGATCCCTCCCCTCTGTTCAATGACAGGGCCCTCCTGGACAGCCAGGCCTCCAGGGACCCATGGGCCCTCCGGGATTTACTGGACCACCAGTGAGTTGGGGGCTGCCTCTGAGGCCATGTGGGGATAAATGGGGTGAATGAAGACTGTAACCCTACTGTGGCCATGGCTTCAGGGGAGGGATTGGTGGGGGCTCTGTCCTTGTGGTTACTGGAGTGGGGAGGGAGAGGACTCTGGTGGCAGGGCCTGCTGAGTGTCCTGCACGAACCAGAGGCTGCAAGGCTGTTGGGGACTGAGAGTGCCATGGGTGGGGAGAGTGGCCAGGGTGGCCACTGCTGTGGACGACCTCACCCTCCTGCGGGGAGCTGGGTCATAGAGAGGCCGCTGGACCTGGGCTGGAAGTGTGGATGAAGGTGGCCAGCAGTGGGGCTCCAGGTCAATGGTAATGAGCCCTGTGATGAGGCCGCATGGGCAGAGGCAGGAAGGCCGGCCTGAGCTGGCCATCCTCTCATAGTTAACATGGCACCTCTGGGAGAAGATCACAGCCTTTTCTTTTCCAGAGAGCCTCCCTGTGCATTCGGGGTGGGTTTGAACTCTCTGTGGAGCCCAGGCTGGCCTCTGTCTCACAGTGACCGGCCTGCCTCAGCCTCCTGGGTGCTGGGACCACAGGCTTGTGCCACCATGCGTGGCTCTTAAGCTTATGTTTTTAATGTACTTGTTTTCTTTTTCTTTTTTTATGGTAAAGTCCGAAGTTCCTATTCTATCCATGTGTGTGAATTAGCCTCTTTTATGTTTTTGTAAATAAATGGACTCACTTTTACAAGTGAAGAGTAACGTTTTAAAATGTAAGAGGCCTTCTGAAATTTGTTCCCTTGAAGAACATCAGCTTTTTGCCGTGAACACATCTGTCTAAAGTGGACAGGCCCTGTCCTCAGGTGGGACCCTGCTCCTGCAGACCTGGCAGGTAACGTCAGGCACAGTCTGGCACCTGCCAGGCTGCGGCCACCCACGGGGCTGTGTGTAAGATTTCGCGGCATTTTCAGCCTGGTAAGAATTGTCCTGCTCACTTCTTGGTTATTGTAAAGGTTTACAGGTTCCATACCACAGGGAGCTTCTTCACAACTTGCTGTGGGATCACAATGGAGTTGTGAATCCTATTTAATTAGTGTGCTCTCAGGGGCTGGGGATTTAGCTCAGCGGCATAAGTGCCTGCCTTGCAAGCAGGCAGTCGTGAGTTCGATCCCCGGTACCGGTAAAAAGGAAAGAGACAAAAAAAAAAAAAATAATAATAATAATAATTAGTGTGCTCTCTCTTGCAGGGTCCCCCGGGCCCTCCTGGCCCTCCAGGTGAAAAGGTAAAGATACTTCTCCTTTCCTCTGCTTTGGCCGTTTGTGTAAGCTGTCGTGGAATTGTGTGCTCATCCTTTAGGCTACCACAGGAGTTCTGCAAACTGCCCTGTGCGTGCATCTGTCTCCTCAGGCCCTTGCCTGTCACCTGTGTGTTGCGTTTTGTCTTCTGTGTCATCACGTCAGTCATTTGTCTGTGTCATCACGTCAGTCATTTGTCGTCCCGTTGCTCAGCGCTCTTCCTGCCACCCTCCTGGGTTGCTCCTGGGTGCCCACTGCCTCTTGTCATTTGAGGCGTGTGGTGCCCCTCATGATGAGGTCAACTTCTCCTCCACAGGGACAGATGGGTTCGAGTTTCCAGGGGCCGAAAGGTGACAAGGTGGGTGTGAGGAGCCCTGCACATTTCTGCATTCAATGCCACACCCCGGGCCCTGGCCATGGTGACTTCTCTTTGTAGTTTTGCATGAGATAGGGTTTTGCTTAACCTGCTGGAGTTAGGTTCTCTCAGTTCACAGCATAATCGGGGTCTCCTGCTGTCAGGGGCCTCTGCAGGGCTGCAGATGCTGGTCACCTGCCTGTGGGGTTCAGTACAAACTAGCTCCTAAGTGGTCACCAGGGCTTGGCCGCTGGGTAGTGCTCTGGGGAGCCCTGCGGGTGTGGAGAAGGGGCGGGCACACACTGGTGTGGGTGCTTCTAGGGCCGCTGGCATGGAGAATGTGCACCCTGAGCAGGAGGGTACGGCCTGGGACAGGCACCTCCAGAAAGGTTTGCAGATGGGTCCCTGGGCTGCTGCCATCCCTGGCAGACTGAGGACTGGCACTGCATGGTGCTCCCTGCGGTTGCTGTCTGGCAGCTGCCACTGGTGGCCCTAGATGTGGGCCCTGGATGCGGCTGGACAGCTGGCTTCGCATCTGCCTTTGGGTTTTGGCCCAGTCACCCCTTGAATCTCACAGCACAGTGACCCTGAAGTTTATGCTGCTGTGACCCCAGGCCTTGCTCTTTCTCTGTGGCTGGATTTCACGTTGCCTCCAGGCATCCCAACTGTGAGCTGCGAGTGAGGAGGCCCCTGGCCACCCTGATTTCACCTGACCTGGAAGTGCCTTCCCCTCCGAGCTCTGGGACAGCCACAAATGTGTCCCCTGTGTCACAGAGAGGCCACAGTGCACCTGGTGCCCAGTCCTGCAGAGTCCTGATGTCCCAGCCCAGGGCACCGTCTGTCTGCTTCGGGTCCCTGCTGGACTGCACTGGAATGGGGATGGTTACATTTAAAAACACTTGGCTTGCACACGCGTGCGCACACACATACACACACACGCACACCTCCTTTGCCTGCCTCATTAATCCTGGTTTTCCTATGAACAGGGTGAGCAGGGTGTCAGCGGGCCTCCTGGGGTTCCTGGCCAGGCACAGGTGCAGCAGAAAGGGGACTTCGCTCCCACAGGAGAAAAGGTATGTGGGGCTGCTCTGAAGGACGCTGGACTCTGACTTGGGGGACTTCTGCGGGCCAGGAAGCCAGCAGGTGAAGACTCAGCACCTCCAGCTAGAGTTACCCTCTCTGTGCAGCTCAGCTCTGTAGCAGAGGTGGCTAGAGCCAGCCTGGCCCATGAGGCCTTGGTGCTGGGTTGCCTGAGGAAGAGTGTTTAAATGTGTCCCACACTGGGGATGGCCATGGGCAGAAGAGGCTGGGCCACTCACTGTGGTCTTCTGGGCCCCAGGGAGTGTGGGAGACCAGGGTTCAGACTTGGCAAAGGTGGTGTACTTTTACTGGACCCCTGTGGCCTGTAGGAACCCAGAGGAGGTGACTCACGTCACTGACTCTTCTCTCTCAACTCCTTAGGGTCAGAAAGGTGAACCTGGATTTCAGGTGAGTGCTCGGTGTCCACCCCCTACCTGCGTTGTCTCGTAAAAGTTCACGCACGGAGTCTCGGCCCGAGCTTGGGAGTTTGTCTCCCCTCCAAGTGGGCACTGCGCTGGCCCGTGAGGACTCGAGAACTCACTCTCTCTCCTGTCCTCCTCAGGGAGTACCAGGCGTCGGGGAGAAAGGCGAACCCGGGAAGCCAGGGCCTCGAGTAAGTGCCCCCGAATCTTCCTTCTGCCCCTCATTGGGAGCCCTATCCCTGTGTGCTGCAGCCCAGCTGCATAAGGAGGGGAGGTCTGCAGGGTCTTCCACTTGGCCTCTGTCCCTAGGAGGCTTGGGCTGTCCGTGTACCAGGATCAGGAGGAGCTGTGGGTTTGCTGTGGGCCCCATGTGGCCAGGGGCTGGCTTCTCCTCATCGCTGGTTCTGGTCCAGCTCTGAGACTCAGCCACAGGGCCTGGCTGCATATGTGTCGTCCTGGTCTTCCGGGGTCCCCTGAAGTCACAGGTAGAAAGCTCTGGCGAGGTCGCCCCCTCTGTGCTCAGGAGAAGGACAGCAAGCCGTGTTCGCCAGTGGGCCTGAAGCCGAGCTGTGGCGCGAGGTCTGGTTATTGTCACCTCTGAGACACTAATGCTGCCCCTTTGCTTCACAGGGGAAACCTGGGAAGGACGGCGAGAAGGGGGAGCGGGGCAGTCCGGTAAGCCTTTCTGCAGTGGTTGGAAGTGTGGTCGCCATCCCTGTCACCCATTGACACCTGTTGCTGTCCCTCTCCTTGCAGGGCTTCCCTGGTGACTCAGGATACCCAGGACTCCCAGGCCAGCCGGGCCTCAAGGTATGTGGTCACCCATCTTTTGAGTTTCACCTTTCCATGTGGCCCGGCTGCCCTGTGCTCATTCTCCCTAAAATTCAGAGCTCTGTATTTAGGGGTAAAAGTTCTGTGCGTGATCCCACTGCACCGTGAGCTGGTCAGCGGCAGGTGCTGAAGAAAGGGCAGTTTTACTCATCTGTAGACCCAGTCTCCATGTCCCCGGTGGAAGTCACTGGGCCCTGCTGTCTGCGGGACACTTGATCTTGAGGGGAACAGGGAGTCACGTCACTGTCTCATTGCAGGGAGAGAAAGGCGAAGCCGGTCTTCCTGGCCCACCCGGGACTGTGAGTATGGGTGCTGGGTGGCGAAATGGGCCCTGGGCTGGTCACACGGTGCACTCTGCACTGTCCGCGTGACATTTGCATCCGAACTGAGGTGTGTTGTTCGAACCCTAGCATTTGTGTTGCGCTGTCTTCATGGTATTTAGATAGTTTCTGCATATCTTTAAACTTGCTGGAGTGAAAAGGTTTGTGCGTGGATGATAATATTCCCAGCATATTTTGAAACTTTTTTTGGTACATTTTGAACTATCCACTAAGGAGTTTTAGCAATAGAAACGGACCATCTGTAATTGCACTCTCCTTGCAAATAACACCTCACTCAGCCTTGTACATAATTTTGCATATCTGCAACCGAGGTGCCTAAGATTTCCTGGAAAAGAACCATCTTCATTTCATAGCGATCCTCTGGGGTGTCCCATCAGGGTGCTTGGCCAGAGCGTGAGGCCAGCCCCCACTTCACCCCCCCCCCCAGCTAAAGTCCCCGCAGTGCCACTTAGAGCAGGTGACATGCGGCCATGTGTGGTGCTGTGCTGGGAAGGGGCTGGGGATTGGGTCCTCCATCATTGGCTGCGTTTCCAGGGTGGGATTATCTGACCAGAGCCTGGTTCCCTTGCCATGTTCTGGCCCCCACTGAGGGGCTGGAGGCTGTTTCTCACCTCTGTCCACCCAGCGCAGCCTGTTTCCTTTACACTCAGTTTTCAGTTCGTTATTTTTAATGGAGAAGTGGAGAGCGCCGTGCTTGTGGCGAGCGTGTGCTGCCGTGAATGCAGCGTTTCACCAGCACTCACAAGCATGAGCCATATAGGGAAACTCTGTCAGGACACAATGCTTGCCTTTGCCATTTGCTTTGAGTTTAGGTGAGTCAGAATCATGGGGACAAGTCTCTGCTTTCTAGTGAGACCTCCCTCTTGACTTACTTTCCTGGGCTTTCAAGGAAGTGCCCACTTTTGTGTCCTTAAAAAAAGCAAATCCAAGAAACAAAATTGTCACAATGAGAAACGTGTTTCCTGGTGTCTTGAGCCCGAGGTCGTGGTAGGGTGCGCCTCATGGTGCCGGGCGCCTTTGGTTCCAACGACAAGCTTGAGTGACAGTGCCTCTGATGTCATCAGGGGACAGTCCAGTCCCTGATGGGCTTCCAAGATCCCACTACCTCTTTGCTTTGTATTTCTTGAAACAGTAAAAATGTGCCCCTGTGGGCGCCGTCCACACCGGTCAGGTGCTGAAGGTGACCTCCCTCCTCTCTCTCAGGTCATAGGCACCGGGCCTCTGGGAGAAAAAGGAGAGCGTGGCTACCCGGGCGTTCCTGGGCTGAAAGGGGAGCCGGGCCCCAAAGGTACCTGTCTTGCCACGCCCTCCCTCCCACCCCTCCCCTTCCTTCCCGCTTCCCTCTCTGCATCCCAGAAAGGTCGGTCCTGGTGGCTGTCCGGTCAGGCCCGACCTCACCATCACTCGCGGTGTCTCGGGACCCTTTTCCTCCCATGGCTCCTGCCTCGGTGGGGCTGTGCAGTCTTCCATGTTTCCCAAGCAAGCGAGGTGCTGCAGAGAAGAACCAATGCACTCTGCTCACACTGGACAACTCCCCCTCTCTCTGTCCAGGTTACCCCGGAATTCAAGGCCAGCCGGGCCCCCCAGGTGAGCACCTCAGCTGAGTGTCCTGTGGAATGTGTGTCACCTCTCGGTGGTTTCAGTTCTGCATGTGTGTTAGGCATGAGCATAGACAGCCAGAGGTGTGTTACATGTTTTTCTAATTCAGGGCTTTGCATTTTGTAAGTTGCACATTAGCATGGCAAGGATGGCATCTGTTTCCTAAGAGACCCCTCTGAAGGGTACTCTGCTTTTGTGGGCCCTGGTTGCTGTGTGGGCACTTTCCTCCCATGTGTCTTTAACCATGTGCCCCCTCTGGATGCTGAGGTGACACTTGCTCCCTACTCTGAGCCTCCTCTTGCTTTCCCTGGGAAACCAGCGTTTCCCGCCTGCCAGTTTGCACTCCCTGGGGGCATGCCTCCCAAGGGCAGGCCTTGTATGTGTGTGCGAGTGCAGGGCTCAGGTGCTGGGTATGTGGTGTGCATGCGTCCCCTGGGAACACACATGTGTGCCAGAGCTGAGCCTCGCCATTCTGAAGCCTTTTGCTCAGCTCGATTTTGATCTTACTTTTGCTTTGGTGGCTCTGGGGATTGAACCTGGGGCCTTCACGCAGAGCTACATCCCAAGCTACACCCCCAGCCCTTCTTTTTAAACTTTAACTTGGAGATAGGTTCCCACTCTGTCACGAGTTTCCCAGGCTGACCTTGTGATCCTCCTGCTTCAGCCTCCCAGAGGGCTGGGATGCCAGCCATGTGCCACCATGTCTTGCTGAATTTTTATCTTACTTGATCCTTTGTTTTATTTCATTTTCTCCCTGTCTAGTGGTTCTAATTTCTGATCTCTCCCAGAGCCCCTTTTCTTCTTTCCTTTTTGTGGGACCCATGGCAGCCCTCATTCCCGCCTGAGGCCCAGCTCCTTCCCATCTATGAAGACCTTTGGGTTTACCCTGGAGTCATCACTGTGCCCCTTGAACTGCTTTCTTCTCCCTCCATCGTCCTGGGCTTACTTTTTTTATCCCTCTGGGCTTACTTTTCATATCTTTTAATGGACGCTGTCTGCGCTCTTATCAGTTGTTTTGTGGGGTGTACGGCTTGGAGGACGCTGTGTACCCTCGCCAGAGTTGGTTGCTGCCCCATGTCCTCTGTCTGTGCCCTTTCACCCACATTGGAGCCTCCCTTGCTTGGAGCCTCCCCAGGTCCTCCTCTGTGTCCTTGGTGGGGCCGTGAGCCCGAGGCTTGGTTGGGTGCCCTGTTCTGAGCTGTTACCTCACAGCGACGTCTTTTTACTTGGGGCGAAAGCAGAGGGATCTGGGGTGTCACTGCGAAAGACATTCATGTGAGATTCTCTGTCGATTTCAGGCCTTCCCATCCCAGGGCAGACGGGCCCTCCCGGCTTCCCCGGGGATAGAGGAGAAAAAGGTGACCAAGGATTGCCAGGCGTGTCTCTGCCGGGACCCAAGGGGAAGGATGGAATCCCAGGCCCTCCGGGTCCCCCTGGACCTCCTGGGCAGCCAGGCTACACAAGTAAGTTTCCTCCGCAATGGTCAGAGGAGGGCCAGCTGGGTGCCAAGGGTCCTCTGGGAGCCAGCATCCTGGGCATCTGGGGATCACTTAATTGTTTATTTTCACGTGGGTAGCTTTGCAGAATTAACCAGGCTATAAAGAGGAGTCTTTCAGCTAAGAGAGAGAGAGAGAGAGAGAGAGAGAGAGAGAGAGAGAGAGAGAGAGACAAAGAGAGAGAGACAGAGAGCATTTACTTAAGGAAGTGTGGACCAGCTCTGAGCCTCTGGAGTCTCAGGTTAAAGGCGAAGCAGTTGAATTGCAGGCTTTTGCTGGAGGCCGGTTGTGCCCACCTCGGTAACGGAGATGCTCTGTGCAGGATAGGAGCCAAACTCAGGCTACACGCAAGGGAAAAAGGGTTGTGTGACACAGGAGGCACTATTGTCTAACATGGTCAGGGCTTCGCTTTGGAGTGACCTGATCGGGCAGTTCTCCTGTGCCAGCTTCCCTGCCAGCTGAGCTTGCCCCGCTAATTTCTAGACTTCCTTACTGCAGTGGTCGAGGGACACGAAAGCAAAGGATTGATTGGGAAATTGCAAAGGATTCTAGGAAACGTCCAGTGGGAGGATTTCCGGTTTCTGAAGCAGAATCTGGGTCCTTTTGCATCAGACCAGGGCTCTGTGCCACATCCCAGGGGCTGAGCCCCCATGTGGCTGCCTGTAGATACATCCGAGGGCTTTGAGGTTGCTTGCTGGGATTCCAGTGCATCCTGCGGAAGGGAGGGGCTTCTTGCAGTGGAGACTCCTGGAGAGACGCTAAGTGCTGAGTGGGGCAATCACTCCAGATGGGCTTCCTGGGAGGGGACAGCAGGGCTGGCCAGGAGGCAGGCAGATCTGTGCGGCTTTGCAGAGCTTCCTCCTCTCCTCCCGATTTCATGGATGGGGGAAAAGAGGAGGAAATGTGGGGGCCTGGAGACCTCTGTCCAGGTCACCCTCTGCTCTGTGTCTGGGAGGAAGTTGAGCCTTTTGGAGCTTCTTGGTCCCTGTGTGGGGCTGGAGTGACCGCTCACAGTCCTGTGCTCTTTGGGACAAGGGGACAGGCAGCACCAGGTGTGGTGGGACGGGGCCCATGGAGCTGGAGAGGGGCAGCGTCCTGGTCTCCTGGGCTGAGAGCAGGGTTTTAAACCTTGGAGTTCTGCAAGCTGTAAAGCTCGAGCAGACTTCCTCTGGGGATGTGACCCCTGTGTTGCTGTCACTGAGTGGGAAGTGTGAGCACAGCATCTGCTGCCCCTGACGGTGTGTGGTTCCCCTGTTGCCTGTGTCAGTGAAGCACTTCCCAGTCATGGATATTAAGCATCACTTTTCTATGAGGGTTTCAGTCAGGTTTTGGTATCTGAGAACCACTGCTGGCTTGGGGCCTATCACTAGCTCATTCACTACACCCTGTTGAGATTTCTGCCAATAAACTGTTGTCTCAGAGAGTCACCGACATCTTGAGGCCACCAGTGACCACAGACTCCCTTCCTGGGCAGGCTTTGGGAAATGTGGACCCCAGACGTGCACCGATGCAATTGCTGTGTGCTGGCTATGGGCTCAGGGTTGTTTCAGGTTCACTTTGGTGGGGGCGTATCGTTGCCTGTTCCCGGGGCATGTGAAAGGGTCCAGCTGAGGTAAGGTGGACAAGAGGCATTTCAGGAGAAGAGGCATATTCATGTCCCTCCTCTATTATGCATGAGCCTGCATGTCCAGAATCGGAGAATTAGCATGCATGCAGGGCTTGGCTGTGTGATTTTTTTATTGTTCTGAATTCAGTGTGCAGAGCTTCTGGGGGGTTAGGGGCTGCTATTGGAAGCCTAGATGCAGAGTCCTCTGCCGAGTGCAGTCCCCAAGGTACAGAGGTTGGAGGTGTTGGGAGTGTGGCAGGCTTTCTTCCAGGTTCACTTGTACTTCTTCAGCTGGCCCGTAAACCAGGTCATAAGGCAGCAGGGTTTGGGTATTTGGGGCCAAGTGGGCATGGCTCATGCATCTGCATGGAGTGTGGGGAGCACTGGACCCAGAGCCTCTGCCTTGACTTCTCTCTCCTGGGGAGAAGACGGAGGGGAGGAGTGGGAGGCAGCTCAGGCCCTGGAGCCTGCTCAAGGTATCCCCTCTTAAACTCCGCTCTGTCATTATACACTGTAAGACCATGTGTTTGTCACTGGAGCGTGACTGGTGGTGTCTGCATTGCTATACTTTATTTTCACACCATTACATTACGATGCTCAGGACCTGTGAACAGCAGTTAGAGGCTGCATTGCCCAAGTGATGGTCTGAGCTGTAGATTTGCCCCAGGAAAGGCATGACGCTGCCAGCTCGACTGCCATCACCTGCTGGAGCCTCACTTGTAAAGAGGCAGGCTGACGGTGTGGTCTTTGTGAGAGGAAGACGGGGTGGAGGGCAGCACAGAGCTCAGGGAGGGCACCTGTGTGGAACCTGAGATGTGGAAATGCTGGCTGCGCCTCCCTGATGTGGTGGGCGTGGGCCACGTATCCTGGGCTCCATTTGCACGCTCCTATCCCTGTTGTGCAGGATTAGGATTAAGGAAGCCAGGGACAGCTGGGTTTCCAAAACTTCCAGTCAGCCTAGATCACTTAGGTTTCATAATAACGTGTGAGTGAGGAGACGGTACCTACGCCTGATACTCTGAAAACTCACTTCCAGATGGCATCGTGGAGTGCCAGCCAGGACCGCCAGGCGACCAGGGTCCCCCCGGCGCCCCAGGACAACAGGGATTGACGGGGGAAATCGGAGAGAAAGGTGAGAGTTTAAGGTTTCAAAAGTTCTGTTGTTCCTGAGTATGGATTTCCCTCGACCAACTTCTGTGGCCTTCAGGTCAGATTAGGGCTGTTTGGTGGATGCTGCTCAAAATCCATTCTCAGAATAAGCGTCACCCTCAGCTCAGTTCAGTCTGTCAGGTGCTGAGCTCTTGCAGGACAGCTGTGACCTTGACCGCCAGCACTGGGGCAGCGTGGCCCCAGAGGTCAGACTGCTTTGGCTCCCGCTCCCCCAGAATTCCCCCACCCTGCAGATTCCGCCCTCAGAGCCTCGCTGGATTCTTTCAGTTCAAAGCCCCAAGGTTTTACTCTCGGAGAACTCATGTCCTTCCTGTCAGCCACCACTCCCCTCTGGGTGCGGATGCAGTGCCCGCCGCCTGCCAGCCGGGTTGTGCCGTCAGTGGGGGCAGATCTGCGGGGATGGATTAAGCAGTTTTCCTCTGGCTCCCGATTTTATCTGCAGCCTTTTAAGAGTCGGCGGTGACGTCAGCACAGGGCACAGGCTGATCCTCATAGCCATGTGGAAGCTGTCGATGGTCACCACACCCTCAGCCTCTTCCACGGCCTGGCTTGGCATCCAGGACACAATGGGCTCCGATGTTTATGGCCCGTTAACCCAAGATCAAATCAGAATCTGCCCCATTGTGTTCTGTTCCCAACTGTGGGTTGTGAAGAATCCCTGGTCCTCTAGAGACTCAAATGCAAAACATGCCTGGAAAGCAGTTTCCTGGCATCTCTGAACTGGGGCGGCTACATGGCTTGAACCCGGATGAGTGTGTCCCAGAGGTCACCCTGGGGCGCCCCCAGTTAGATTCTGCCGGAATCTCCTGGAATCTGCCTCAGCGAGGTTCTCATCTGATCTCTCCAGTTACCAGGTGCTTGCAGCTCTCCAAGATGGAGCTGCCCCCACCCGCCTTTTCAGGACTGGGCATTAAATCCAGGACATTTGCACTGTAACAGCCCCTGACTTTTAAATTTTCAAACAGGGTCTCTAAGTTGCTAAGTTGCTCAAGCTGGGCTCCATCTTGTGATGCTCCTGCCTCAGCCTCCCAGAGTGCTGAGATTACAGATGTGCATCACCACACCCGCTTGCTGGACAGCAGACCCAGTTGCCAGATTCCCTTTTGCTGATGTTTCAGGAGCCCTGTGTCTCCTTCAGTGAATTCGGCACTGTTACAGAGGTCCTGGCTGGCCTGGGTGGCAGTGTTGGCCTCCTGCTCACTGGCCTCTTTTTCTTTACTTTTTGGGATGGGGTCTTGCTATGTTGTTCAAGCTGGCTTGAACTCACTATGTAGCCCAGGCTGGCCTTGAACTCAGAGAGATCCTCCTGCCTCAGCTGGCTGACTGGCTCCCTATGCTGTGTCCTGGAACAGCAATGTGACACTGTAGGCTCTGTGGCACCTCCCTGTCCCACCGCCCTATGTCTGTCAGGCTGGGCAAGGTGACATAGAGGGACCTCCGTGCTATGTTCCATGCTCTTTTGAGCTGAGGCTCGAATCCAGACCGTTGAGGGTCTAATACAAGCATATCTGAGGCCCTGGAGGCTGTGCCACTTGGCTGAGGGCTGAGGCTCAGTGTGCCCTGCTCCCTGGGGAGGGTGCGACTCCTGGGAAGGAGACAGTTTTATCCCTCAGGTCTCCCTGGGCAGCCCCTGTCTTCCCCAGGAGGAGAAGGAGGCCCCATTAGCCATGCAGCAGTGTCACAGTAGCCTGGGTGGCGTCTCAGCGACAGCCAGCCCCTCCCTCCAACCCCATGGGATTATATGTGTTACACACCAGCTCCCCATGCTTCCCCTTAGGCCAGAAAGGAGACAGCTGCCTCATCTGCGACACAGAAGGACTCCGAGGCCCCCCTGGGCCACAGGGGCCCCCAGGAGAAATCGGTGAGTCCCAAAGCCTGACATTGGAAGCAGCAGGTTACTCTGGGCCTGGGGCATGGTGCCTCCGAGGGCCATCCCAGCCTCCCCTACCCCCGCCCCAGCATTGGAAGCTGCTGCAGGATGGCGAGAACCTGGGTTTGTCCTGGAGCCACAGTCAGGGGCCTCTGTCACCCTGGCCCGGGAAGGACGTCCTCAGGCAGCAGAGCTGCCTGCCTCTCGGCGAGGCTTTTCCTCTCTGGTCCCTGGGCTGGGCAGGGGCTTGCTGTTCCCTGGTGCCATGGGCTCCCCACATGCCTCGGAGCACACCCTGGCGTCTTAGCTGTGGCTCTCCAGATGTTCCTCAGCAGTCACCCCTGGAGAAGGCTGGCTGACTGGCAGGAGCATCACAGTCCACCTCAGAAGCGGAGGGGTCTGGAGAGGCAGCTGGTGGACACTGCATTTCTTTCTTCAAAGGTTTCCCGGGACAGCCAGGGGCCAAAGGCGACAGGGGCCTGCCAGGCCGGGATGGCGTTGAAGGGGTGCCTGTAAGTACCCCTGTCTCCTGAGTTCCAATGTAGCCGGCTGGGCTTGGCTACCTGCAGTCTGCATGTGTTGGGGGGTGTCACTGTTGATCAAGGGGCACCTCTGGAAGGGCTCACACTCTCACCCCCACCCCGAGCCTGTACCACTTGGGGTCCCTGCTCCGAGTGGGTCCTGGACTCCTTGCAGCGTCTGGGCTCAGAGCTGAGTCGCTGCTGGTCTGTGTGACCACCATTCCTGACATCCAGAGCAGGAGCTCGACTCTCAGCAGTGAGGTGCTTGGGCAGCAGTGCCCACAGGGAGGTGGCACAGAGCCGACCTTTGCGCCTTGGTGGAAGTGTTCTCCCTGCTTCTTGTAGAGCGCATGCTGAGAATTCCTGTTGCCAACTCCTTGCCCACCTTAGATGCTTTTCCAAGTCTGTGAATGAACTATCAGGAGTACCCTGACCTGAGACCCTCTGTTGAAACCAAATACCCATTCCTTAGCTTTCTAGTGTGTTTAAAAGAAGTCACTGCACAGGCAAGAACCGCTCACACTAGAAGCTGAGGCGTGTTGGTGGGCCGCACGTTTTCAGTGGACTCTGAGGCTTAAGGGCAGACTGAGGGCCTAGCCCTCCCCTGGCGCCCTCTGCTCTGGGCAGGTTTGTAAGCCTTAGCCAGTTCCTGCGTGGTCTTTCAGGCCTCTTTGTCTTTTTTTTTTTTTTTTTTTTTTTTTTTTGGTAGAAATCGAGAGTCAGATCTTTAGCCTTTCCTGTCCTGCTGTAGCTCTTTAAAATGTTTAGTGTTTGGAGGCTGAGGCTGGGAGTGCCTCTTGGGGAGGGCTGGCAGCATGACACAGCTGGGGTGCTGCAGGGCTGTCTCCTTTTGAAGTTGGATTCCGGGGTTCTGCTTTCTCTGGTGCCTGGGGAGCTGAGTTAGAAGTCGCAATTGTTTGGAATATTTCTAACTGCAGGGGAAGTTCAGATGTCTGCCTGCAGTGGGATCAAAGCCGGAGGAAGCAGCAAAGGGTCTTTTAACCTCTGTCCGTTAGCCTTTATCGCCTGGACTCCCTTGGGCTTCCTGCCTGAGCCTGGGAGGAATCCAGGCCCCAAATCTGATAAAAGTGGGAGAAGAACAGAGCGGGAAGAGGGAACAGTGGAAGCGAAATCATGGCAGAGAAAGAAATGAGAAAGCCCCGTACGAAACGCCCTATGTCATGCTGCCTCGGCCAGGGCCCCTCTTTCCTTAGATGGGAAAAACCTCTTAAAATAGATCAGTGGAGAAAGAATTTAATTGCAGCCTTCTCACTTTTATTTGAAGCTATATCACAGCCACAGGAAGCTATTTTTGAGCAGCTCAAAAATATTTCCCAGAGAGCAGGGTGAGCTCCCAAGCTGGCCTGAGATCAAACAGGGGTGCGCTTTGGATTTTCTTTGGGTTTTGACAGAATTTCTAGGACATTGCCTTCCGAAGGCTGAGTGGTCGAGTTTGGGAAGGGATGCCGGCTCCTGCGTGAGCTTTGGAAGCCCATGTGGGTTGGAGGAGGCTGAGTGAGCAGGCCCCAGGGTCCAGGGCCACCTCTCACAGACGCCACAGCATGAGTGCCAGACCTTCCCCTGTTCCTGAAACCAGTGCTGGCCCCGGGGTTGCCGCACCCTCAAGTGGGTCCACCCTGGTGCTGTCTGGAGGGTCCCCTACTACCTTCCTCCTCCATAGGGCTGTATGTCAGTGGGTGTTTCCCAGGCAGTGTCGCCTTCGGGTTAGAGATATCACACAGGGTCCCACCACATGGTGGGTGTTGGTGACAGTCGTTCCTGCAGGTATGAGATCTGGTCCATCCTGGATTTCAGGCTTTCCTGGGACAGGCACATGCTGTGGGTGTGCAGTTCATGTCCCTCTGAAAAGCTTGTACAGTTTTGAAAAGGGCTCAACTAAATTGTGTGAGGGTTTAATCCTGCGGACCAGCAGGGGCTGAGGTGGCTTCCCCGGGCCTTCAGGGCTGTGGGACTGATGCAGGTATCCATAAACTCTGCCATTTTCCTCTCGTACCTGTGCTCCCTGGGTGGCTGGAGCAGAAGTGCTTCTGGGTGTGGCATTCCCTGCAGACCTGACCTTCCAGGAACTGCACAATGTTCTGGACAGTGTCTCCTGGGAGAGTCTTAGGAAAGTCACATAGCTTGTCAAGACAGTTAAGTTTAGGGCTGGCTCAATGCTTGCTTCCTAGAATTCCCAGTCTCTGATGTCCTGGAAGTCCTTATCTCTTCCTGTGTTTGGGGCATGAATGCAAAAGGAAACCCATGAAATTTCAGTAATGCCCAGAGTGCAGGGACAATGGCCTTTCCCAGCCCTTGTGAAGCATCAGCCACTGTCTTCCCTCAGAAGCTGTGTCTATAGTCCTGGGGCTTGAGAGTCACCCATGCAGTGCCCCCAGCATGACTGAAATGTCCTGGTGAGGAGAAAGAGTGATCCCACAGGACATTCATGAGCAGGGGCCAGTGACATCCTCGGCCCCATCCAAATGAGCTCTGTGTGGATCAAACCCGGAGCCAGGGTTGGTAAGGAACCCGAAACCTCGCCCCTGAGCGGTTGGCTGGCTTCTAGCAAACAAGCAGTGCCATCTGAGTACTCAATTCTCTCAGTGCCCAAACACTGGCGTGTCCCCTGGGGGGATCCTCCTGTGGTGTCACCAGACTCTGTCCTTGTAGGGTCCCAAAGGTGCACCAGGGCTGATAGGCCAGCCGGGAGCCAAGGGAGAGCCCGGAGAGATCATCTTCGACTCACGACTGAAAGGCGACAAAGGAGCCCCAGGTTTTCCAGGACAGCCCGGCCTCCCTGGAAGAGCAGGAACCCCTGGAAGAGATGGTCACCCCGGACTTCCTGGCCCCAAAGGCTCCCCGGTATGTTTATTCCCAGACTCCAGGTGAGCACTTCAAGAATGTGCCTCTGTGGTGCATGGGGGAGCGAGTTGTTTGAATGGAACCCTGTATCTTGATTTGTGTGGCGGCTGGCACTCGACCCCTCAGTCAGGGGCCAGCAGGGCAGGCTTGAAAAGCTAAGTGGGGTGCAGCCTCTTCTGAGGCGTTGGGTGCCAACTCCAGAGACTTTGGCCTCTCATGGGAGTGAACTCTAAGGCTAGTGGTGTCCGCACCGTCCACTGCAGGAAGACAGTGCTGAAGCGTCTCCTGGTGCTGGCCGGGGCAGCTGCTCTGGCTCAGGGTGGAGCGTCCAGTTTCACTTGTTAACTTCAGGCCATCTTGATGAGCAGACATTTCGAGCAGGGTCACCTCTGCCTGAAGGAGAGTGGGTGGGGCAGTGGCCATGTCCTTCTGTCCCCTGTGATGACCTTTCCTTTCCTCCTTTTGCCTCAGGGCTCCATAGGACTGAAGGGAGAACGCGGTCCCCCTGGAGAAGTTGGCTTCCCTGGCAGTCGTGGTGACATTGGCCCCCCTGGACTTCCAGGATTTGGTCCGATTGGCCCCATTGGTGACAAAGGACAAATAGGGTTTCCTGGAAGTCCCGGGGTGCCAGGCCCACCAGGTGAGATTCGGGGACATCAAGTGCTTCAGGGTCACAGAGACATGGGGCCATGGGTACAGGTTGTGAGCCACGGGAAGGGGTGGGTCTCGGCAGGTTCTTGCTAGCTTTTCCTCTTTAGTCTCCTTTCGTCACATACGAGATGCACCAGGGCCTTAGGGACCAGAACACACCGGTGATTTTCCTTCTAAACAAGCAGACAGTATACATCAGCCTCTGGTATAGAAGGATTTTTTTTCTCTTTGCTTCTTTTTGTTCATTTTTGCTTCTGTATTTGCCAAGTAGCAGAATCTCCACCAATAGGCCAGTGCCGCTGGCCAGTCCAGCAGCAGATCTGCTGTGCTGAGCACTGCTTCACTCCGTGCGGGGTTCAGTTCTTAGGGCTAATTGCGGGGCTCGAGTGCCCCTCAGTGTGGAGAGATGGAAAGCAGTCACATGCATCCTCGCCCTCCTGCATCCCGGGCCGAGGGTCTGTGCCCTGTGACTGTCTATTTGTGGGGTCAGTGGGGAGCAGGTGCAGCCCTGGGCCTGGCAGCGGTGGGTCCCTTTCCTAGTTCCTGAGCAGATGGGGAAGCTACCTGTGGGTCCCTGCTCGGTCTTGGGATGAGAAGGTGGAGGCCAGGGTGGTTTGTGCCTTGTGGAGGGGAAGAAGAAGTGTGTGTTTCCCGGAGAGTTTTGAAATGTAAAAATTAGTGAAGGCCCCAGAGTAGGTGTGGGACCAGGGAACCTTGGGAAAGATGGTGTCCGGCCGCTAGATAATCAAGGTCTCTAGGAGGATTGCTGCTGATCTTCAGCACTGTGAAAAGAAGCTAGACTTTCAGACCAGAAAAGACTGTGTTAGCAGAAATCCAGGCAGGCATTACACGTAGATCCTGGCACAGTAGAGAAGAGGGTTCCAGAAGGAGGGCACTGCTTGGTTGCTGACTGGGTGTCCGCATTCTGGAAAGTCCCTTGTGTGCAGGCCCAGCCAGCTTCTGTGTTAGCGACCAGACCTTTGATCTTCGGGAGCTGTGTTTATTTGTGACCCTGAAGGCTTTGTTCCCAGACCTGGCCGAAGTCAGTCATTTCCCAGTCTGGCTGGACACAGGGGGGACATTCTGGAGCTGATTCACTGGCCTAGGCTTCCCGGAGAGCTTGGGAAGTCCCTGCCCACGCTGGAGGGGGTCCCTGCATTCTTCTCTGCTGCTGCATGGGGACTCCAGGGGACATGAGCAGGTGGGGATGTGGGATGATGCATGGCCTCTCCCTCACCACATGGGGTGCGGTGTCCCCCATGTGGTGAGGGAGCTGGGATTTGACAAGCTGAGAGAGAACAGTGCGTGCAGCTCAGGCAGACGGGGGAGGAACGACCCACCCCATCTCTTGTGGCACTGGAGTTTTCAAAGCTCTCATTTGACAACTTTCAGAGAAGCCTTTTATAGTGAACAGCTGGTCATTTTGGATGTCCACTGCCTTGGGGAAAGGGCAGCTCTCTGAGGAAGATCCTCGACATGCAGAGGGCAACCAGAGGTGGACAGTGCCCTGTCTCTCCCTGGCTGTATGGGGTGCTCCTAGAGGGGCACATGTGACTCCTTGATCTCTGAGGGGCTCAGGGTATGTGGCTGACACCTCTGTTTTTCCTGTTTTCTCAGGTCCGAAAGGCGAAGCAGGAAGGACCTTTCCCTTACCTGGGCCCCCTGGTGCAGATGGGCTCCCAGGGTCTCCCGGATTCCCAGGACCCCAAGGTACTCCTCGAACCAGTCTTCTGGTCACCATGGGGCTCTCTCACCCTCTTCGTGCACCAACCTCTAGTCTCTCTCACTGCAGGTGACAGAGGCTTCCCTGGGACCCCAGGACGGCCAGGCCTCCCTGGAGAGAAGGGTGCTATGGGCCAGCCAGGAATTGGATTTCCAGGGCCTCCAGGCCCCAAAGGTAACATGATGCACCCTTTGGGGAGACTGCCATCAGAGATCTGGGGAGGTTACATCCCCTCCTCGGAGGGTCAGTGACAGTGGCCAGGGTCCCTGCTCTTGTCCTGACATGGACCTGTGAGGAGAGGTGGCCACAGACATGGGACACCTGAAAGGCAGTGCCCATGAGGCCATGGTGCTTTCATGAGTCTGTAGGACTCGAGCGAGGCATCCGCCCCTTCTGTGGTGGTAGAAGTCGTCCTGTGTAGAGGTTCTGCCTGAGGAGTGAGTGTGGTAGCCACTGGATAGCTGGTGAGGACGCTTGGCCGGCTGGGCATGCAGGCTCTTGTAGAGAGGCATCCAGGGAGATTGGGGGGCTCTGTACTAGGGGAGGGATCCCCAAGGAACCTTTGCCTCCTGTAACTGGAAGAATGGAAGGAAAGAATATCCCCCTTCACTGCCCCAGTTTCTGGGGTGCACTTGGCCTCCAGATGGAGGTGAGAGTTGTGACCACGGAGGGGACATGCTGAAGAAAGGCTTCTGTCCATGCAGTGTGCTGTTTGGGCTTCAGACCTCCTTGGGCTTCGTGCCCAGAGGGGCCTGTGCATGGCTGATCTCATGGGTGTAGAAGACCAGGCTGGGAGGGCAGTGGTGTTTTGGTCCTGCGAGGGTGACATGTGTCTACTGCTACATTGGGCTCCTTCCCTCCAGTGACCAGCTGTCCAGGAGGCCGAGGTGAAGCCTCCTCCCTGCCCTGGGCTGCGGGCCCCCTCCATGTGGTTGCTGTCCACAGAGGCTCCATTCCCTGAGCTTGGGCCCGTGGCAGCAGTGGTTTGGGATGCAGAGGCCAGTGTAGAGTCAGGGCCACGCGCCCTGGGGCCTCTGGACCACAGCGTCCATGTGTGACGCAGGTTCCGGTGCCACTGACCTTGGCATCACTGAAGAGTGCCTCATTCAGGGTCTCCCAGCCTTGCTGTTCCTAGCCCAAAGTGTCCCACTGCTGGGAGCCCAGAGCCTCACAGGTGGGGCAGGCAGCTGACAGATGTCCTGGGGACGCTGAGATGGCTTCAGCCTTGCCCAAGAGCCAGGGTACTGTAGAGCCTCTGTGCTCTTCTGGTTCAAGGACCATGGGCTCTTGGAAAGCAAGTGGTCTGAGCTGTGGCCTCAAGGTGAGGTGGCGCCGCTCCTGTCTGCAGCAATGCCAAAGGTCAGGGCCTCTGTGGTCCTCCGGGGTCTGTAGGGCCCAGGGTGATCATGCCCATTCCAAGGGTCAGGGCCTCTGGGGCCTTGCTGATGTGGAGGATCCCAGGGCTGACTTGCTTAGTTCTGAAGGGCAGTAGAGGAGAGATGAGTTTGAAGAGCTGAGCACAGGAAAGAGCAGGTGGGAGAAGCATGAGGTTGGGGTGGGTAGGAGGGGACTCCCTACCCAGGCCTCCCTTTCCCAGGTGGCTGCTCTTTGGCCTTAGCTCCTCTGCCAAGGCTCTGGGCCATCTTGGGAGCTCAGAGCATCTGGGCAGCAAGGACAGCGGGGGCTCGTGTGACTGACGTTCTCAGATCTCCCCAACAGGTGTGGACGGCATACCCGGAGACATGGGTCCTCCAGGGATCCCAGGCCGCCCGGGATTTAACGGCTTACCTGGCAGCCCTGGTGCACCTGGCCAGAAGGTGGGTTCGGACGGGAGCTGCCGCTTCCTCACCTGGGAACCCCCTGGGCACCTGAAGTGTGTGTTCCTAACCTTTGGTGGGGCTGGGCCTGCCTGTGTTTATCTGAGAAAACACAGGATGGAAGAGACCAGAGCACCCAGCATATGGCAGGACATTTTTGGAGGGAACTCGTGTTGGATTTTATGAAACATCTGTGTCAGTTTTATGCCGAGTACTTGTGGGTATGCACCAGGTCTGGGTGGTACCTGCTTGCTGTGTGGCTGGTGAGTGCTGTTTGAGAGGCACTATCCTCAAAGATTTCTCTTAGACGAGAAAACCAAAGTGTAGATAGTTTACTTGTTTGTTTATTTTTGTCTGTTTGAGACAGGGTCTTACTATGCAGTTCAGGCTGGCCTTGAGCTCACTTTGTAGCCCAGGCTGGTCTTGAACTCACAGGAATCCTCCTGCCTCAGCCTCCAAGTGCTGGGATTACAGTGTGCGCCACCACACGCAGAAGTGCAGATAATGTAAAGAGCAAAATGCAAGTAGAGGATAGGAAATGGAAACTGGGTTACGGAGGTGGGAAGAGGAGTGGAAGTTGAAATGACCTGAGGTGCACTGTGCATCAGTTCCAGTTCCCTGTGATGGACTGGATCATCATGTGTCAGAAATGTAGGGGAAAATGGTGAGGTCAGGGTCCAGTGCACCCCATCAAGCAGCACAGAAGGTTTCGCTTATGACTTAAAAGAGCTAGTTCCCATGAGGCCCTGGGTGGGACTCTTCTCAGCAGGATGCATAGAAAGCTCAGAGGCCTCTGGTGTTGGGGTTCTGTCTGTGGATGTCACTTTCGGTGACCCCAAGCAGCATTGCAGTGTTTTGCCTTCCTGCCCGCCTCGATTGGCCCGTCTCCAGGCTGGCATGGGGCCATTTTGAGGGTCCCCTGGTGCTGAGGGGTGCTTCCTTTATTTGCATCCATTACAGCCGACCAAGCCTCTGGTTCCAGTTTTGTGCATGTTTGATTTATCTCATGACCTTAATGTGTACCGGAAACTGAAGGCATGGGGTCCTGTTCCCACCTGGAACATGGCCGCCTCTTAGGAAGGTGCCAGCCGCGTGCCAGTCCTGTGCCCCAGATGGGGTTTTACCAGGCATTGGGACCCAGCACAGGGCAGTAGAGGCAAGGAGCCACACTAGGTCTTGATTTTCCTCCTGGGTGAAATGAGAACCCACATCCAGGTGGCTGGGAGCCAGACAGGAAGTGGTAGGTGTGAGGAGGCTTGGCTGGCTTTCATTTGCTCCTACCAGGATTGCACCCGGGCCCTTTACTCTGAGCTACGCCCCTGGCCCTGTTCAGTTTTACCTTTTACTTCGAGGTGGGATCTCCCAAGCCTCCCAGGGGGCTGGAGTTGTAGCGCTGCACCACTATGCCTGACTTGAAGTGCTGAAAACATTTGTGAGGGTGGGACAGATGCTGGTGACATTTGCTACGTCTCCATGGGTGCTGTGAGGGGGGAAAGATGCTGGTGACATCCGCTGCGTCTCCATGGATGCTGTCGGTTTGGGGACAGCTCAGACCTGGCCCACTAACTGGCTTCTGTTGGGGTTTTCAGGGGGAGCCTGGAGTTGGTCTTCCTGGGCTCAAAGGCCTGCCTGGTGTCCCTGGCATTCCTGGCACCCCTGGAGAGAAAGGCAGCATCGGGGGACCTGGTGTTCCCGGGGAGCATGGAGCAATTGGCCCCCCTGGGCTTCAGGGCATCAGAGGTGACCGTGGGGTTGCTTTGGGGCTGGGGCCACATAGTGTCCGCGGGGTGTGGCTGTGGGCGGGCACAACGTGTGGAATGTGGACAGCTCCCTGCTTATTCCCCATCCTGTCTTTCAGGCGATCCTGGACCTCCTGGAGTACAGGGACCCGCAGGCCCACCTGGGGCTCCGGGACTTGGCCCCCCTGGAGCCATGGGCCCCCCTGGAGGACCAGGACTACCAGGGTCATCAGGTGATGCGACCCACTTGAGACTTGTCCCTCCGCTAGGGTACAGTGGGTAGGAGACCATGCTGACCTCCTAGAGGACTTGGGTGGTTCCTGACCTGAAAGGGGAGAAAGCAGAGTCTAGTTTGTGAAAATGAGCCCGGTCATATGCTGAGACAGAGTCCGGGAGTTCTGCTTCTCCCCGGAGAAGCTTGTGTGTCAGAAAGACCCCTAGGGCACATTCAGGGGCTTCAGTTCTCTATTTAGAAGAAGTCTCCACGTCCTCTTGCATAGGTGGCTCAGTGAGCTCCCATGATTGAAATTCATTAAGCCCTGTGGAACTGCCTTTGCCTTGAAAGTGAAAACCTCAGTATCATGAGGGCTCAGGAGGAGAGCTCAGAGCAGCGCAGGGAGCCTGTGGAGGGGTGGCGGGAAGGCCCCGGCGTCTCCCTCACACGGTGGTGCCCGCAGGTCGACTGGATGGCCCCAAATGCGGAGCCATCCAGTCTGTTCCCCAGCAACACGGGGCTCCTGGGCTTCCTCTGGAAAGCGATGGTGATGTCCACTGCAGATGGTCTGTGGGTTCCTCTAATGGCCTTGTACCTCGTCCACCCTAGGTCCTCCTGGAGTAAAAGGAGAGAAGGGCTTCCCTGGATTCCCAGGACTGGATATGCCCGGTCCTAAAGGAGACAAAGGGGCCCAAGGACTTCCTGGCCTAACAGGACAGTCAGGGATGCCTGGCCCTCCTGGACAACAGGGCACACCTGGACTTCCAGGCTTCCAAGGTAGGTGGCCTCCCAGCATCTTCCTGGCGTGTGTGGTGACAGGAACAGGCCTGATCTTGTTCTTTCATGAGCCCTGGCACTTCTCTTTGGTTCCATGCGTTCATTTTGTCCACAGGTCCCAAGGGAGAAATGGGTATCATGGGCACCCCTGGGCAGCCAGGGGCTCCAGGACCAGTGGGCGCCCCAGGATTTCCTGGTGAAAAAGGTAGGACACTGGTGTATCCAGAGCATGTCTCGTGTTGTGGGGGACATGTGCACTGCCTGTGGCCCTGTTTCCTTTCCAAGGGAGCTGCCCCACAGGGCAGCATGCCTGTCAGACCTCGGCCCCTCCTGGGCACGGCTGGGGCGCTTTCTGTGGGCTCCCTGGCCACAAGAGGGCCATTAGAACCTGAGTCCCAAACCAAATAACTGCACACTAGGTCTCTTCTCAAGTCCTGATTGTGTTTCTTATGTTGTTATTTGGAAGTGGTCCAAAATAATTAGTTTTAAGGGACGTGACACATAGGAAAGGGACCCCATCAAGTGGACAGGAGCAGGCCCTCCTCCAACTTCCACCTGCAGCACAGGGCGCTGCCGCAGGGCATGGGCTGGGTCACTAGCGAAGGAAACATTTTAGAAAACCACGTCCTTGGGTTCTCATCCAGTCCCCGGGGGCTGGCTTCTCCCATGTGACTAGATGCTTGTCACCTGATGTCACTTTTGGCACCTCTGCTGGGTTTTCTCCCTCATTGTTTGCCCCAAGAAGTCCAGCAGCAATGGTGGCACCAGGGCTCACAGGTCCTTCTCTCCTCTCCACAGGGGAGCACGGCTTCCCAGGCTCTTCAGGACCCAGGGGAGACCCTGGCTTCAAAGGTGAAAAAGGTGATGTCGGACTCCCTGGCAAGCCGGGGTCCATGGATCCAGTAGACATGGGCACAATGAAAGGACAGAAGGGAGACCAAGGAGAGAAAGGTGCGTGGTGGCAGGGAGGACACGGCTGGCTTCTCTGAGACAGGGCCTCACTGCCCTGTGTGGCCATTAGCCTGAGAGTGGGGTGTCCTGATTCTGCCCTTCCTGTGTTGTGTAGGACAAACTGGACCCACTGGTGACAAAGGATCCCGAGGCGATCCTGGGACCCCCGGTGTGCCTGGCAAAGATGGACAGGCAGGGCACCCTGGACAGCCAGGTAGGTGGCCGTGGAGGACCGTGGGGGACCCCAGGGTGGCGAGTGGTCGCAAGGGAATGTGCAGCCCTGCTCTGTGGGGGAGTGCTGAGCTGTGGTGCTATTCTTCGTTACCTCAGGACCCAAGGGCGACCCAGGCATAAGTGGCACACCAGGCGCACCCGGGCTGCCCGGACCTAAAGGAGCGGTTGGTGGAATGGGCCTGCCAGGTAAACTGGTTTTGGTGGGAGTTGGCTGGGCATGGGCATGGGTGGCCCCCACCTACACTACACAGGGCTGGCGTTTGGCTGGCTGTGGCCTTTGCTGCATTCCTTACCATGGAGCATGGGAGAGCATGGTTGTGCACAGGTGGATTGGGTGGGCCCACAGACCTGTCCACTTGGCTGGCATGTTCCAGGTCACCTGGGAAGCTTGGACTGAACCCCAGGTTTCTGGCAGGGCCTCCCTCGGCTGCCCAGAGAGAGGGCTAGCCAGTGCAGGGAACCTGGCTTCCGGTGTCCTCCAGCCGTGACCAGGTGCTATACTGCTGCCTGTGGAGATAAACTTCTCAGGTGATTACATAATAAAGTCCTGAAAGCCATTTCTATACCCCTGTTAAAGTCCCTGGTGCATTCTTCTCTCTGTTTACAAACAGCATCTTCAGAAGCTGCTGTGCAGCGGCCATGGTGTGGTTGGAGTGGCCATGTCTGCCCGGCTGCGTCCTTTACAGATTGATGGCGTAGGAGCCTGTTCTTTTACCTGGGTCTTGGCAGGCAGTGGCACTAGCTCGTCTCACCTGTGCCTTCTGTCCTTCCGCTTGTAGGAACCCCTGGAGAAAAGGGCGTGCCTGGCATCCCCGGCCAGCAGGGCTTCCCCGGCTCACCTGGAGAGAAAGGGGCCAAGGGAGAGAAGGGACAGGCAGGTCTGCCTGGCATCGGGATTCCCGGGCGGCCTGGGGACAAGGTGAGCAGCATTCTGGAGATGCCCCGTACCCTTCCCAAAGCTCCCCGTAACCGGCCGAGTCCTGACACACACGTCCTGATGAGTACCTGCTTGCCGTCTGGCTCCACAGCCCCTGAGCTTGTTGAGAGCCATTACTGGAGGAAAAAGAGAGGTGCAGGGGGGCCAGGCAAGTAGGGAGGAGCCCCTTGGGTCTCACGCCAAGTTAGTTTTGCCTCTTCTTTGGGAGTGGACCCTGATTTCCTGGTGAGAGGTCCAGAAGGGAGATTCTGTGGCCCGGGGATCAGTGCCTCTGAGCGTGTCTGGCATCTGACAGTGCCTACATGTGCTAGTCCAGGACAGATGTGAAGCTGACACGCTTGATTCTTCCCACAGGGAGACCAAGGGCTCGCGGGCTTCCCTGGTATCCCCGGAGAGAAGGGGGAGAAGGGCAGTGCCGGGATGCCAGGTGTGCCGGGGTCTCCGGGCCCCAAGGGGGCTCCGGGCAGCATTGGCTACCAAGGTAGGTGCACAGCCTCCTCTACTTGGTAGATGTAGTCTTGGAGGGGAGAACCCAGACTGACCACACTCTGAATGGCATTCTCTTTAGGAAGCCCGGGTTTGCCTGGGGAGAAGGGTGACAAGGGTCTTCCAGGACTGGATGGCATTCCTGGCGTCAAAGGAGAAGCAGGTAGAGGAGCCTCACTATGCACCTGGGCACTGAGGGGTCCCCGGGAGGGCACAGCTGCCAGGAGTCCCCCGATGCAGGGTGGCTCCACAGTCCATTTTTCAGATGAACAGAGGCTGGGCTGAGAGGGTCTTTCCGAGGTCCCCTGCCACTCATTTAGGGGCCTGACCTGCCCCTCCAAGCTCATTCTGCACTGAGCCTGGCTGCTCTCTTTCCCTGACTCGCAGGGCTGAGGCTTGAGGGGTTGCTAACAGCAGAGGGTTAGGGTTTTCCTGAGGGCATCAGGACTGGTCTCAGGGATGCTGGCACAGCTGGGAGGGAAGAGCCTCTTTAAAATGTTGGAAAAGGACTTCACACCCGGAGAGCAGGCTGTTCTGTGTGTGACTGTGGCTTTCTCTCTGAGGTCTCCCTGGGACACCTGGCCTCATAGGCCCCACTGGCCAGAAGGGTGAGCCCGGCAGTGACGGCATCCCGGGCTCGGCAGGGGAGAAGGGCGAGCCAGGTACGTCCAGCCCCAGTCCGTGCCTTAGGAATCCTGGACTCCATCATTCTGTGTGTGCTGCTCCCCGCCGGACGATGCCCCTTTCCACTGGCCTTGAACTTGCTGTGGGAGGTGGGAGGAGTGTGGGGCCGCATACATTCGGTATGGCTTCTGAGCCAGGTCCTGCACGCTCTTGGCCCTGTGCTGTCTGCGTCATGCCTTCTCCTGTGAAAACTCCCACACATATACGCCCAGGCCACATTCACCCCTGGAGCCCAGTGCTCACATTTGCACCCCTGTGTCTGCAGCCCCATCTCTCCAGCTGCCCCCCTCCTTTGAGAAGGCTGGGGAGTTGGATGCTTACCTGCGATCAGTCTGCATTTGTGTCCAGACAGTGGGAGGGTCAGTACTCAGACACAGGTCCTTTCCGCTGATGCCAGCCGAACGGCTCTGACCAGAAGTGGCTTAGGGAACAGCACTCAGCAATGAGCATGTGGTCGCAGGGCTGGTGTCTCTGCAGTGTGGAGGATGGGACCCAGGTTTATCCACGTGACCCGGACTGATGTCTGTGGATCCTGTGACGGACCCATGTCTCAGAACACAGCTGATCCTGCCCTGCATGGTCTCTGCTGACCCCAGTCGGGCTTAGGAAAACCTGTGCTTCTCTCTGCCTCCTAGGTCTACCTGGACGAGGCATCCCAGGATTCCAAGGGGCCAAAGGAGACAAAGGTAACGTGTTCCTGCAAGTTCCCCTTCCCCGGAACCCAGCTCTGGGCTTCTTGGCCAGACAGAAGCTGGGGATTTGGGGAACAGTGCAGAGGAGGCCCTGTCTGGGGTCTGGGTGGTCTGCAGACTCCTAGGCCTCACGAGTTGGGAGGAGTGCTGGCCCGGGCCAGATTCCGGTCGGCAGTTTTATAGGCACGGTTTAGGTAATATGTTTAAAATGGAACACACACATTTTAAGTTTTTCCAAGTTTTGAAACTGTTATTATTCCGTGGCACACGGTTAACTGCACATATGTAAAGCATGCCATTGGTGAGCTTTGACATGTGTGTACACAGGAGCACATGCGTTCTGGGTGGTGCGGCACCGGCATATGCAGGACACCGTCCGTTGCAGTCGTGGCCTCAGCAGCTCTGCGCCTTGCGGCCCCAGGCAGCGTTCCACCCACTTTCTACCTGGCTCTACCTGGCATTTCCTTCAGGCTCCTTTAAACAGGGTTTAGGCTCTCAGCCCAGTTCTGGCTCCCAGAGGCTACCGTCCCTGGGGCTGAGTCCAGGTCTTCTGCCTGGTGTGGCTCCCATCCTCCCCTAGCAGGGGGCGCCAGCCTTCACAGGCGGGTCCTCTCAGCAGGGCGATGCCTGCAGGCTCCTAGCCCTGGAGCACATCCTCAGGAGGAGCCTGAGGGAAGACGCTTAGTCTTGCTTTTAAGCTGGGCTCCTGGCACCCAGGGAGCTTCTCTGAGGTGCCACAAATGTGCCACAGTCTCTGCTGCACTGGTATCTCCGTGACCTCAAATCATTCTTGTTTTCTAGGCTCAAAGGGTGAAGTGGGTTTCCCCGGATTGGCTGGGAGTCCCGGAATTCCTGGACCCAAAGGCGAACAAGGATTTATGGGTCCCCCGGGGCCGCAAGGGCAGCCCGGCATTCCTGGTGCCCCCGGCCGTGCTGTAGAGGGTCCCAAGGGAGACCGAGGACCGCAGGGACAGCCCGGCGTTCCAGGTAAGGGCACCACACCAGGTGCTGGCACTGGGGCCTGGGTCACCAGGGTAAGGTGTGGGGTGGGTCTTTGCCCTCTCAGGGGAGACACAGTGTGTACTAGAGCTCAGAGTGGCCTTAGGTCTCTTGGGTCAGAGTTTCTCTGGTCTCCTGTCTGTCAAGTGCTGTGACAAGGGAGGTCAGGAGAGGGCACTGCAGGGAAAGGCTTGGGTGGACATCCTGTGCTGTCAGTCCCCAGCGTGGCCCATGGGTGCTCCCGCCTGACCTTGGCTGTGTAGGTCTGAGTGCCACAACCCTCGAGAGACGAGGTGTTCGAACTAGTGTCCTTTAGTCCTGGGACTGCCTTGATGTCATGAGGGCTCTCGCTCTACAGTGACATTCACACAGTGATGCTGAGGGGTGGGGATGGTTTGGCAGGGTCCCCGGAATCACTGCAGCCTGGTGATTTTGTATAGGACACCATCCACCTGCCCTGAACGTGTGATTTCTGTCTCTCCCATCAGGGCTTCCGGGACCCATGGGGCCTGCAGGGCTCCCTGGGCTGGACGGACGGAAAGGGGAAAAGGGGAATCCAGGCTGGCCAGGACCGCCTGGCGTTCCAGGGCCCAAGGGAGACCCCGGATTCCAGGGCCTGCCGGTGAGTTCCTGGTCGTGGGGTTTTCTTGGAAAAGATCCTGTTCTGATCACAGATGGTGAGCTGGGCGTGTAATTGTGCACTGTGTATGTGTGTGTGTGTGTGTCTGTGTATGTATGGATATATGCATTTGTATGTGACCCCCTGAAGCCCCAAATCAGCTCCTTCTCTGGCCAGCGACAGTGTCTTTATTGACAGCAGAGCAGGGATCTTTATGACAATAAATAATGGTTTGTTTTCAGGAATCACTAGGAAAGAAATGTCACACTGATGTAAATTAGAGTGGCTGCTAGGGTTACTGCCATTTACAGACTTGGTTGCAAAAGCCGACTGCAGTTAGCCCAGCTCTATCCCATAACTGCTGATGGCCATCCTGGAGACTGCAGGGGCAGTGGCATCTCCAGGTGACCCAGGGGCACAGCTCAGGGCTTTGCAGGTGACCAGGAGCGGGATGGTGTGTTTGTGTTGTTGTCCACCCTTGGCCTCCTGCTGAGCTCTTAGTTAAAGTAGAGGCCTCAGCTTTGGTTCTCAGCTGAGCCACCTCTGTGCACCCTGAACCTTGCTGCAGTCAAGGATGCACGAGGAGAGTCCTGTCTCTCTCTCTCTCCCTCTCTCTCTCATACACTCTGAGGCAGGAAGGAGCTGAGGGTTCAGTACAGGTCCTCCCATAGCTTGGCAGTCACAAGGCTGGGTGTCCAGGCACCAGGCTCTTTCTCCAGGGCAGGAATGTAGCATGTCAGCTCAGCTTGCCACACACGCTGAGGAACAGCGAGGCTTTGGGACTTCTGTACCAGGATGCTCTGCAGCGTTACAAGAAGTTATGCAGAACAGGCTGAGTGGAGTAGTAATAACCACTTTTACCTATTGCATGCTGCTCGCACAGCCCTGTGTCACAGAGGGCGTGCACTGGGACAGATTTGGACTCTTTATTGCTGTACTGTAGTTTTCCCGTGACATAAATAGAGCTGTCAGTTACTGACACCATTCCTTTTCTTCCTCAGTGGTATAGAAATATCCACTCTGTTCCTAGGGCCGATCCTATGCGTCTGTATGTGTACACTGTGCGTGTACAGGTGTGCATGTGTTTTTACACACACATACTCATGATTGTTATTTTGATTATGATACTTTTTAAATAAGGTAAGTCAAAGAAACAAATGCATTTTTGTAGTACTGGAGATTGAATGAGACAAATCCATTTAAGAAATAATGCAGCGTTTTACGGTGCTGCCTGTGCCTATGAGAGGAGTTCCTCCGCAAACTAGAGGAAAATGACCTAGAATTGTTGAGTGCATGAACAATGATACATGCGGAAGTAAAAAGCCCTTTTTAGGTTTTTTAAAAAATCTTTTCCCCCATAATTAAAGTCGGATTCAGATGAGACATGAAGCTAATTCTAACAGTGGTCACTGTGCTTCAGGGTTTGGAGGAACATTTTCCAAAAGAGAGGAAGGTGTGGACAGGTGGCAATTGTCTATGGAGTTTCTACTGTGCATGTGGTATCATGCTGTGTGGTGGGCATAGCGGAAAGATTTTCATTTGCCTTCTTCCCATATGGCTGGTCAAACAAAGGGGATGTCAGGGATAGAGCCAGTTGTTAGAACTTCCAGTTTCCTAGCTTACACACACACACACACACACACACACACACACACACACACCTGCACACAGAAAGATTTGAATCAGTTTTGTTACCTGAAGGCACCATCCTTTCCCCGAGTGTACCATGCAGGACATGGAAGGCTTTCTCAGCTTCCTGGCTACAGGTCACTTGAGATGCTGCTTTAGTCTCTGAGTGGCCCCTCTCTCTTTGCCCCTCTAGGGTATTGGTGGCTCTCCGGGAATCACAGGCTCCAAGGGTGATATGGGGCTGCCAGGAGTTCCAGGATTCCAAGGTAAGGCAGCAGCCAGTGAGCTGTGCCATCCTGCTTTGACGGGGTGCAGTTGGGGGGCTCCCTGACCTCGTCACCCATATCTAGACACAGGCCAGTAGCACCTGGGGATGTGGCCCCCCTTCCTGGTGTCCAGCCATACAGCTGGAGAATGTTCATCAGGTTGTGGTTTCCTGAGTATTGATGGATCACATATACCTCAGTCATTTGCACCCCAATAGATCATGAATAGGGGCCATTAGTTAACTCATTAGCGTGCTCAATAAACATTCCCTGGAGCCTGCCAGCCTCTAGGCCCTGGGAGTTTTGCTTCCGAGTCAGGTCTAGGACAGGAATAGAGGCTCTTGTCCTGCAGGTTCTGTTTGGTCCATCTGAGAAGAGGTGAAAATCAAATGACCACTTTCAGTGTCACCTACTCCTTTGCTCAGTGTCACCTGCTTGGGGAAGTATACTCTCTGGGTTCCAGAAAGCACGGTTTCATCAGATGCTTGCTCTTTTCTCCCTGCATTAGAAACACATTCACTGCGTGTGCATATAATTATATGCACCCATGTGCATATACCTGGTGCATGCATATCCGTGCCTGGGTATGCACATGTGTGTGCACCCATGTATGCAAAGTGTGGGTAGCCTGTGCAAACGCAATGCTCTCCTCCTGTCCAGGTCAGAAAGGTCTTCCTGGTATCCAGGGACTGAAAGGCGATCAGGGCGATCAAGGTGTCCCCGGCCCTAAAGGTAGGAGATTTGACTCGTGGGACCTCTCTAGTGATCTGGGGTCACGGGCACACAGAGTTAGTTGTGGATTTGGCATGTAGTGTAACCGAATAATCCTTAGAAATGCTTTGTAGTGAGTTAAGATCGCTATTGTTCTGAAAGGCAAATTGCTCCACTGTGGGACTGGGAGAGGGCAGGGGAGGGACTGCAGACTGGGGCAGTGCTGTCACATCAGAGCGGCTGCTGGTTCTGGCTGTGATTGGAGATGTCTCTTGGGGCACCAGACTGCACTCTGGAGAGGACAGCACTGTCCCTTCCTCTGGGGTGGCAGAGGGACGTGTCTTCAAATACCACCTGGAAAGAAACAGCTCGAGTAGAGGCTTCACACTGTTCACTTTCTACTGGGAACTGCACTGCTCCAGGACAGCGATGGTGAACATTTTAGAGACTCAGCGCTCGAACTGCAGCCAAAACTCACTTATGTACCCCAAAGTTCCAATGCTGCAATTACACCTAAACACTGGGGTTTTAGTTTAGAAAAAAAACAACTCCTGCATTAACATCTCTTACCTGAAAAGCATGACAACAGAACTTGGGGTGCTTCTGCACCGTTAATGTGATCTTTGCTGTCATCTGTCGCTGTAATTTGTCAAACCTTGGCTTGAGTGCCGACAGAGTGCGCTTTGTGTGCCGTGGGTTTGTCACCACTGCCCTGGGGCCTGTTTAAGTTCTCAAGGAAGAGAGAGAGCAGCTGGACACCCTAGAATGGGAGGGTCGATTCCCACCACAGCCCTGGTGTCTTTCCCAGCCCTGGTTCAGGATGTGGGGCTGCAGGAGAAAGATGTGATGATGGATGGAACACGCATGTTGCCAGGACCCGAGGCCTCTGATCGGCAGTGATTTTCCATGGAGTCTCGTGACCGTGGAATTGTCTCCCATGTGACACCTGTCTGGGGCTCCAGCTGCCCTGCTGTGGGCGGCAAAACTGACCAACCATTTCCATCCCTTCAGGTCTTCCAGGGCCCCCTGGCCCCCCAGGTCCTTACGACGTCATCAAAGGTGACCCAGGGCTTCCTGGCCCCGAGGGTCCCCCAGGTCTGAAAGGGCTCCAGGGACCTCCAGGACCGAAAGGGCAGCAAGGTGAGGCTCAGGCCAGGGCCGTGGAGCAGGGCGGAGAGGGGCCATCTTCCCAGGGTCTGCAGTTGGAGTCCCTGGGTCACCATCAGACACTTTAGTGTGCATCAGGACCCGGCGGAGCTGTAAAGGGCCCTAACAGAGCCTCAAGAAAATGCGGACAAGCTGGAGGCCCACACCACCCAGCACTTTCCATTCAGTTAGAAAGACAGCGTCTCTCACAGGAGAGGAGGGGAAGAATGGAGGACCAGTCTCAGGGGTACAGGTCACTGCTGTTGGAGCAGCCCCAGGCAACCCTGGGCAGAGACAGGGCTGGCCCTGCAGTCCCAGAATCTCTGGGGAGCCCTGTCTCCAGTCTTCCTGGGATCCAGCTGAGCTGCTCCCCTTTCATGGTGGCTGGAAAGGGGTGGGAAAGTACAGGAGTGAACGTCAGCGGAGCTATCTCAGCTCCATGTGTGTGATCTCAGCTCCACGCGTGTGACCTGTACATACAGAGATCAGAAGCTAACTGCCCGCATCACTGTATCCCATGTCTACAACTGGGGACACAGGAGAGTGGCCCCTCCTCAGCCTTTTCAGCTTCTGCTGCCAAACGTGGGCGCACACACATACATGTACACACGCATGCACACATTTGCACACACCACTGTGTGACAGTGGCTGCTGAAGCTGGGTCCCAGGCTCTGCAGGAAGACTATGGGTGCACTAAGGCCTCGTGCTTGTCCCCACCCCAAGACTAAAAGTGACACGGAGGAAGTAAGAGATAGCTCACCGCCACCCAGGCCCGGACCACGAGCTGTTTCTCTCGTGTTGCAGGTGTGACTGGCTCAGCAGGCATTCCTGGGCCTCCCGGAAGCCCGGGCTATGATGGTGCTCCTGGCCAGAAAGGAGAGACAGGTCCCTTCGGGCCACCAGGTAGGTTGCTAGGACCTCCCTTTCCATACTTCCTACCAATCCATGCCTTTGGATTGGGAGTGGTAGGCCCAGGGATTGGGCTCTCACAGCAGAGTGAAAATATCCCTTGAGGTTTCCAGAGAAGTCGATGTCTCAGAAGAAACAGACCATAGATGTGAAGGCCTGTCTGTCATGGCAGCCTCTGGGAGGCTGAGGCAGGAGCGTGGCAAGTTTGCCCCAAGGATGGCATCCTCGCCCTGTCCTCCACCCTTACTGGCCAGCAAGTTTGTGTGCGCAGGCTTGGGGCTGAGATGAGGTGGGGATGACTTCTCAACGCCGCTGGGAGCAGCTGGCAAGTGTGATCAGTCCGTTTGCATTGACTCGGGTGTTTGTACGTAGACCATGATGCTCCCAGTGTGTTTGGGGACAGAGCAGTATGGTTGCAGAGCCATCCCCAGGTGGCGCAAAGGCCGGGATGGGCTCCGTGCCCACAAATGTTCTGGGGAGCTTTTTCGTGGTGTGAAAGGTTGAGGCATCTTGGGAAATCAGAACATGAGAAGCTTCTTTCAGACTTGGTTTTGGAGGCTCTTCTGGGGCCCAACTGCAGTGACACAAACCAGTTTACCTCCTTTCCTACAGGTCCCAGAGGGTTCCCCGGTCCCCCAGGGCCCGATGGGCTGCCTGGATCCATGGGGCCCCCCGGCACCCCGTCTGTGGACCACGGCTTCCTGGTGACCAGGCACAGTCAGACGACAGAAGATCCACTGTGTCCACCCGGGACCAAGGTCCTGTACCACGGCTACTCTCTGCTCTACGTGCAGGGCAATGAACGGGCACACGGTCAGGACCTGGGTAAGACGCTGCCCGGGACAGTCCCTGACTGGCAGCAGGACAGTGACCTGTGTCCCCCCGTCCTGGTTAAAAGGGTATCTGTCTGGCAGCTGTGCTCCTGCCATGGGAGCCTGGGCAGTGAAAAGACCACACGTTGACCACGTCTGAACCTTCAGCTCTTGCCCGCCCTCGCCCAGTGGCCTGAGTGGGCGAGTTTGGGGACAGCTTGCTTTGTGTCCCCGAGCAGGGTGGCAGAGCATGTCTGTGTGTTCTTGTTACCATCCCTTGGCTACTGTAGGCCAGCGGGCGGCTGCATGTCAGACCCCAGTGTGCCCTGAGCACCCCACCAAGTCCCCGTTAGTGTTACCAGCCAAGGTGGGATGGGCCACCACCCACGGCATCGTCTTATGTCTACCCCTGTCCTACCTTCCGGACCTTCTTTTTAAAAAAAATATTATAATGAAAAATATGTTTTAGAAGGAGTTTTGATACCACATTACAAACAAGGGTGGGGGCCCCAAAAAAGCAAAGCAGAGTGAGCTGCAGACCTGCTGGACCCTTGGGGCGCCCTGCTCTCCTTCCTTCTGGACTTCCATCCTGGGAGAAGGGTCCCCTCTGTGATAAGAGGGCCCTGTGCAATTCTTTCTGGTCCGGACGCCCTGGCCTGATGGCTGCAATCTCACGCCCACGGGCAGGGGCCTGGCCTTGGTGGTGGCTGTGCCCCTTCCGGTAGGAACACTGGAGAATGTCCATTCTGTTTCCACGGTCCCGGCGTGACCACATGTCTGTGACTGCCAAAGTGCAACATCCGCCCGTCACAGGCACCTGGTGGCCTAAGCAGCATCCTGTCCCTGCAGGCACAGCTGGCAGCTGCCTGCGCAAGTTCAGCACCATGCCCTTCCTCTTCTGCAACATCAACAACGTCTGCAACTTCGCCTCCCGCAACGACTACTCCTACTGGCTGTCCACGCCTGAGCCCATGCCCATGTCCATGGCACCCATCTCCGGGGAGAACATCCGGCCCTTCATCAGCAGGTGAGTGGCTACAGATGCTGGGATTGGTGGGGAGGAAGCCCCTTGCGGCCAGACCTACGCTCAGGAGGGCTCATCTCCCTCCAGAAGTTGGCCACCCTTAGCCCGTCGCCAAGTTTATTAATCGGGATTGCAGAGTTTTGTAATAGAAAGTTCCAGAAGAGTGACAGCCCAGGGCTGAGGTGGGAGGATCACAGCACATGTGAGGCCAGAGTGGGCTCAAGGCCAGGCCACATCCTGCTGGACTTCACAGTTGCGTGGCGGGAGCTGAGGAAAGATGGTGCTGAGTTTCTCTGAGTCTCAGGACAGTGTGTTGGGAGCATCGTGCTTTTCCTTCCTTCTCTTTCCTTCTTCCTCTCCTTCCTGTTTTTCCGCCGTCCTCCCTCCCTCCCTCCCTTCTTTCCTTTTTATAATAAGCCACATAAAAAGCCTCTGGAGGCGTTTTCTGTGGGGAGGGGGAATCACGCTAAGTCCTATTAAGTTTTCTAAAATGTAAGCAATTGTGAATTATGGTGAAAATTGCCATGTGGTAGTGGAAGCCTGCCAGGACGGTTCTTGCCTGCAGTCCCAGCTGTTTGGGAGGCTGAGGCAGGAGGGTCACATTCAGGTGCCACCTGAGCAGCTGAGTGAGACTCTGTCTCAAAATGAAAAATAAAGATGTGCAGCTCAGGACCAGCTCCGTGCTGGGTACCACGGGCACCACAGCGGAAGCCACCTGACTGTCCCTCTGCTCCCACCTCACAGGCAACTTGGGCCGGGAAGCCCGATGGCACAGGGCACCCTCCCCACCTGCTACCCAGCACCTGGCGCCCGACTGAATGTGTCTGGCGCTGTCCTGCCCATTAAACCTGTGGTGCTAAGTGGTCAGGGGCATCTGTGGATCTAGGGCTTGACAGGCCCACAGCCTGGACAGAGCACAGAGTAACCCCTTCTAACGCCTTCTGTGGTTTCTCTTGTAGCTTTCCTTGGACAGCAGGTAGAGCGCAGTCCCTCGGTTATTCCTTTCCTCTTTCCTTCTTGATAACACTGGCAGTGGCTTGAGCCCAGCCACCGGGAACCGGGAGTGGGTGGGTCTGAGGTGGGCTCAACCCTCCGAGAGACACCCTGGTGCCCTGAGCATAGACGAGATGCCCAGCCCAGTGTCCCAGGACTCTGCATTCGGGGTTCTCCGTCCCTGGGAGTGGGGCCACTGCTTGGGGACCCCCACTCCTGTCCCCACCCACGGTCCCTCTGCCTTACGGTGTCTCTGGTTCCCTGAGCACTCAGGTGCCCAAGGTCACTGTAACCTTGGAGTTCCAGTGGGCTTACAGGTTCCTTCCCAGGGCTCCTGCTTGGGCTTTCTGGTCTGAAAGCTTAATCTCAGAAGCACCTGAGGGATCCGTCATTCTGACTGGGGTGGCAGCTGCTACCTGGTCCTTATGACTGTGTCCCCCGGGGTTCTTCTCTGGGCTGTGACGAGGGCTCAATGGGTGCCCAAGCAAAGGCCCTGGGTCTGGAAAGAGGACCTGGCCTGGCCCACTATGCGTGGCCTCGTTTCTTCTTAAATAATCAGGGAATGAGACCCAGGGACTTGGGACCAGCCTCCGTCCATACCTGTGAGGCATCTTCCCCCGGCAGGCAGGACACCAGGGCAGCTTGGGACAGACCAGGGCACTGTCCCTTGGCCCTTCTGCCTCATTGGGGAGGTGGACAGTGGCAGAGGAACACGGCCCACTTCAGTGCCTGGGTTTAGCTGAGCCTTTTAACCGGGGGTGTTGGTGTCGTAATGGGAACACACTGTGGGTGTGGCGAGGAGGCGAGGAGAGTAGCGTGGGCTGGCCCACCCCCATTCCCCGGGAGCCAGGTAGACTGTCCGTAACCTCGTTTCTGCTTACTCACCAGCCTGGCCCGTGCTTGTGACTTGAACTCAGTCCTTAGGCAGCCGGGATTTCCTCAGTGCAGCAGCCCCCTGGCGCCCCGATGGCCTGGCATGGGGATCCCGTCCTGGCAGGGTCAAGGAGTGGGCTACGGTCCTCACCTGCCACTAAGTCCGGCTTTCCTCACAGGTGCGCGGTGTGTGAGGCGCCCGCCATGGTGATGGCTGTGCACAGTCAGACCATCCAGATCCCGCAGTGCCCCAGCGGCTGGTCATCACTCTGGATCGGCTACTCCTTCGTGATGGTGAGTGCCCCCCACCCCTCTGGGTGACCCTGAGGCACGTGAGGGGCCAGCTGTGTGTCCAGCACCTTCAGCAGGACTGGCTCCTGCAGGGCCCGGGCCCCTCGGAGGAAAGGACAAGAGCTTGCCCAGGGATACACATTTTACCACCACACAAGCTTGAAATCAGAACACTCAGGGAGGCAGGGCTGGCATTGGCTGCAGTGTGCGGCATGGAACTGAGCCATGCCCAATGCAACCCAGCTGCCCCTAGGTCAGACCCCTAGAGCTCTTTCCACAGAAAACAGTGCACTTGTTCCCGGGGCTCACCTAACTGATTGTAGTATTTTACTGGAACATGTTGATCAGCTGTGAACAAGGGCTCATATGGGCCATCAGGGTTATCCTGGATTTGCTGGCTGCTTCCATCAGACTCATGAGGGAGCGTTGGCCTCGTTATCCACCGGCAGAGCAAGGGGAAGCCGCTGGCTGAGCCCTGGCGGCCTGTGCAATGCTGTGGCCACCAGGGCCTGGAGGGTACTGGGGACACTGAGACCCGAGGTGCCGACAAGGGCCGAGTGTGGGGCTTTGTGAGAGGACAGCTGTGGTCTTGGGCGGGGACCCTGCTCACAGTTTCCATCCACAGCACACCAGCGCGGGTGCTGAGGGCTCTGGCCAAGCCCTGGCTTCCCCCGGGTCCTGCCTGGAGGAGTTCAGGAGCGCGCCCTTCATCGAGTGCCACGGCCGGGGGACCTGCAATTACTATGCCAATGCCTACAGCTTCTGGCTCGCCACCATCGAGAGGAACGAGATGTTCAAGTGAGTGGGTGCCGCCCTCCACACCCTCTGCCTAACCCGGACTTGCAGGCAGCCTGGCCAGCTCTACCTGGAGGGCTGGACTCGGGAGCCTGTTCCAGGGATGGGGCCCGAGGGGACATTCAAAGGCAAACGTAGGTGACAGGCTTCATTCAGCCTTCCTTTCCCAGGGAACCAGGAGAGGAAGAAGGGTCAGAGTCCAGGGGGGGCCATTGCTCTGAACGTCCCCTGGGTGCTGCCCCAGTGTGTAGCAAGGACGCCTCCTTTCTATGCAAGTGGCCCGGCTCTGCGCCCTAAGGCCACCGCTGCTTCTCTCCCAGTCACCCGCATCTCACCTTGACACCCGGCCCCAGGGCTGTGACCTCACAGTGTGGAGCTCCAAGGGAACCCTCCACCTGTCCTTCAGCAGTGTAGAGGTGCAAAGGGCTGGCCTGTCCCTTACACTGCTTGAGGTGGCCTCTGCTGCCTCTGTGCTCTGGAGAGAGTGGGAACCCTGTGGTCCCCCATGCCCTATCTCCAGTGGGGCCCTGCAGCTTGCTCCTTGTCCTTCTCTAAAACTGAGCCGGGTGTGGCCGGTTGCTGGAGTGTGGCTACCACTCCACGGATATCGACTCTTAGCTCCAGAAGGGGCACATTAGGGTCCCTACGGGCCCAGTGGGAGGCAGTGGGATTGTTATTGCTATTATTATCATGTTTCTGACCAGAAGCCTACACAGTGGGGTAAAGCACCTTTTCACACAAAAGGAGGTGAAATCCCATCAGCTGGAATAACTTGGGGCCACTAGGATTTGCCCTTTGAAAAGTGCACTTGTATCCAGCTAGTTCACTTTGAACACAGCTTGTGTGCAAGGTGGTTTCTAGGATCAAAACCAGTTTGGGACTCCTTAGTCTTTGCTGCTCTTTGACCTCCATAAGACTGTGTGCCAGTGCTCCTGAGATTCTGACAGTGTTGGGGGATCTGGTTAGTCTTGGAGGGCTTGATACTCAGCACAGCATCCCACAGTGCTAACTGAGTCCCAGTATGGTATGGAGTGGCCGCAGAAGGCCATGCCTCCTCTTTGTCTGGGGAGGTAGACATCAACCTCTCTCACAGTGGCCGGGGCCACAAGCTGGTGGTCCTGGGAGGTCCTGGGTAGGGAGGGGAGCTTTTATGAATTTGTTGCCAGCACTGAGACCCCTATCCTTCCAGGAAGCCCACGCCGTCGACCTTAAAGGCGGGAGAGCTTCGCACCCACGTGAGCCGCTGCCAAGTATGCATGCGAAGAACATAGCGAGGCCGCCCAGCGCGTCACAACATGGTGCTACCCCCTCCGCCAACGCTGCCGCCGCCGCCTCTGTGTTTAACAGCAGCGAACCCCAGAAGTATATCCTGTGTACCTCACTGTCCAGTATGAAAGCGTAAAGTGCCTTGTAGGAACGTGCGAACTAACACGCCCCGCTTCCCCGGCCTCCGCTTGCTGAGGAGAAGAGAGACAGCCATAGGCTTTCCATAGTGGCAGCCCGACGGCACTGGTGATAGTCGGAGACCAGTCCTGCTCCGCCGTGCGCTGGGCACGAAGCGGGGCTCCAAGGTGCTAGGGGCGCGGTGCCCCCGCCCGCCCAGCCTCCTATGTAACAGGAATTTTCTGCCCAGGTAGGAACGTCTCCAGGGCGTGTGTAGTGTTTCCAAATCCAGGTTCCTTGGTCTGTGCAAATCATAGTGATGTAAAAGCAAACCTCCAGATGCCACCCGGACTTTAGAAACACCTGTCCCTCCTGGCCCCCAAAGATGAATTTGTCTCTCTGCTCTGTGTGGTACTACGCAGCTGCTCTGGCAGAGGTCCCAACCTTCCTGTGGAATAAAGGTGGTCCAAAAGTAGTGAGAAATTAAATATATACATATTTTAGTAATTTATATAGAGGTCAGCAATTAGGCAGGTCAAACCCTAGTGTAACCTCCACTGTTGAAATAAAGCTTACCTAGTTCTCCTCTTGCAAAGACTGTGCTGTCCTTTAACACCGATTTTTGAACGCTCCGATACCAAATGTGAAACACCAGCCTTGTTCACTTCCAAACCAAAAATCATGCGTTGCCCAAAGCAGATCTGGGTTGGTGCACACGGAGTCTCGGCCAATGGAACGCGTTCTTGAGCTGACTCTGCCGGATCCTTTCAGGGTTAAATACTAACCACAGACTGAATGACTTGACTTCGGAAGCGGGCACAGCCTCCCGGCGGCAGGAGCAGCCTCGCTCAGGCGCGGGAGGCCCAGAGCCCTTGCTGTCCGTTCCAGTGCTCTGGGCTGCTCCCGGAGCCGAGCGACGGGCGCAGGAGGGCGGATTCGGACCACTATGCTTGAAACGACATTTCACCAAAAGTCTCCAAAACTGTTTCAAGACTACTAAGGCCTTTCCTGTAATTTCTTTACATGTGTATTTCTTAAAAATTCAAATTTGTAATAAAACTATTTGTATAAAAACAAAGCTTTTATGAATTTGTTGCCAGCACTGCCGCAGAAGCCTTTGAAGAAAAGCTGCTGCACCAACTGCTAATAAATGTGTGAGCCTTGCACGCCCCTAGGTCATTTTTATTTTGCACTCTTGTAGCTGAGAGTCACTGATGGGGAGGGTAGGGGCTCCCAGGGACGGCTGCACATGCAGCTGCCAGTCTCTGATGGGCACCTTTTGCCCGGTGTTTGTCATCACACACACAGAGGCCTCGGACCCTTCCAGACCCCAGGGAGATGAGGTGGCACACAGGTCCTGCCGCAGCCAGCCCACCACTCACAGAGGCGCAGAGGGCGACTCCAGGTGGTCAGGAGCGTGAGTGTACACCTCGGTGTCCAGAGAAGTGTCATATGCCAATATGTCCGTGGGTACCTAACCCGGGAGAGCTGTACGGGGACAAGTAAAATCACAGATGACCATGGAAAGGGCCAGGATGATACGGGACACATGTGAACACACCTCAGGGCTGGGATGACATGGGGTCATGTGAACATGGGCCATGGTGACGTGGAATCACATGAACAGGACACAGGGGCAGGATGAAGGACTGTAATCCATGAACATACAAACAGAACAAGGATGACAGGATCACATGTGAACGTACATGGAGTGGGGTTGAGACAGGATAACAGGAGTGTGACACAGGGTCATATCTGAACACAGAGCGGTGGCTGACGTAGAGTAACACAAGAAAATGCCTCACAGAGGCAAGTGAAACAGGACTGGATACATAGCCAGGGTGAGAGGGGTCACACGTGAGCCAGGAGCACTGCGGCCTGCTGCGGGCAGAGCTGGGAGAGTAAATGTTAACGCACCGTGGCACCAGGGAAGCAGCATAGATAGGAAACTTCCCCCTCAGTGATGACAAAGCTCGATGGTGGATGAGGCTGCGGTGCGTGAGACTGCACGAGGGACGAGGGGTCACTCGGGAGCACACAGCAGGAGGATGGAGAGGGGTTTTACAGGAGCACACACTCCCACCTGAGCTGGGTGCGGTCCTAGCGTGGCGTGGGCTCCTCCTTGGCACCCTTGGCAGTGTGGTGAACAGTGGTCAGCTGCCCTCCTGGATCATCATCAGAGTGCGGGAGGGCGCATTGTCCTGAGGCCTGCTTACCCTAGACGGGGCTCCCTGTGCCAGCAAGTTAGAGCATTCTGTCTCTTTGTATAATCTGCCTTGTTGTAAATGATTTTATGCATAATTGGAATATACAGGAAAGGACAAAGGGGTAGTGTGAGATCTTGACCTCCCAATACTCAAATCCTGTGCATTTCCCATCTATTAGTCTAAAAGTTGTTCTGTGCATTTAAAATTAGTATACGTCCAAAGTGACTTGTTGGAGCCTCACAGTTATATAAACTGTGACACACCGACAGGAGATAGCACCCCAAGCAAGCCAGCACTCAGAATATCTCCCGGGATCACCCGCCTTTCCCTCGGAGTGCTCCTCGGGTGTTATGAGCACACACCCTGAGGAAGCTGGCGAAGTGCGGGAAGCATGGCTCAGCTCACGGTTCGAGAGGCTCCAGCCCTGTGGTTGGCAGGCTCCTTCAGGCCCCAGACAGGCAGAGCACGCAGCAACAGGGTGCGGGGAGGCGGGTGATTCATCTCACAGTGACCAGGAAGCAGAAAAGTACCAGGAAGCAGAGTGGTGAGGCTCAGACCAGACGGACCAGACATAGTCCCAAGGTCAGGCCTCCGAGATCTGCTGGCTTCAACAAGGCCTCCCCCAAGGATGAAGTCACTCTTGCTGTCACTGCCTCCCCGTAGCACCAAGGTTCACTCACTCCCACCCCTGAGTCTTCAGAGGACAGCAGCAGTGGGGTCACCTGAGTATCCCCGCCCTGACAAGCGGCCTTGCAGCTTCTCTCCTTGTGAATATCCAGTTGTTCTGGGGTCATTTAGTGAAGCGTCTGTCTTTCCCCATGGAATAACCTTGGACCAGTTTGTCCAAAACCAATTGGTCATAGGTGTGTGGGCTGTATGATCTGCTGGATTTTAAAAATATGGGTGGTGTTTAGGAGAAGCTTAGTTTGAGGGTGGGGACCCAACACTGCCACAGGGGTAGGTCAGCGTTTCCTGGTGGAACTGATCTCACATCTTTCTCTTCATCAGCGGGCTGCACGCTGTCTGGGCTTCTCTCAGGCTGTACCCTCACCTCACTCACCTGGGGGGCCACAGTTTCAGCGATTCAGGGCCCTCCCATCGCTTAGCTCAAAGTGAATCTCAGGAGCAGTTCACAAGCCTCCTCCTCGCTTCTTTTGAAACTGGTTTCAGAATACTAGTGTCTTTGTTTTCCATGTAAATTTGAGTCTCAGCTCCTCTATGAAACAGTTTAGTGTGGACTTTGGCTGGGATTGCATGGACTCTGTGGCCTTTGGAAGTGCTTCCTGTACTGAGGACCTTCTGTCCTGCAGAGGTGGTGTGGCTTTCATTTGCTGATATCTTCTTTGTTCTTTTCATCAACATTTTACAATTTCCAGGGTAATGATCCTGAATAGGTTTCATTAGATTTTCCATATCTTATTTACCTATTTACTTCTGTTCTAGTTTTCTGTCAGTGGAGCATGCATTTCCCCTTTCCTGAAGGCCGCAGGACTCTGATGGCTCACTGCCTTCTGCAGTTTACACTGTGGTTTCGGTCCCCATGGTTCCTAATGACAAATTCTGGTCACTCAGGCCACTCCTACCCTGCAAGGAGTGTTGTCCTCTGACTGTGTTTAAGATTTCTCTATCTTTACTTTTTTTTTTTTTTTTTTGTCTTTTTTGAGACGGTCTCACTATGCAGTTCAGGCTGGCCTTGAGCTCACTTTGTAGCCCAGGCTGGTCTCAAACTCGCAAAGATCCTCCTACTTCAGCCTTCCAAGTGCTGGGATTACAGGCGTGAGCCACCACGCCCGGCTCTGTCTGTCTTTACTTTTTAGACAGTTGGTTAGGACAGGCCTGGGCTATCCGAGCTTCTGGCTCTGTAGACTTCTACCCTTCTCCACGGAATACTGTACTGGTATTTCGGACTTTGGCAGGCCCGGGGCTGGGTTAGCTTCCTTCCACCTTGCAGGTGCTGCTTTGATCTTTGTGGTCTGTACTTCCAACATCCTACTTTTTTCCTTTTTTGGCAGTGTTGCTCAGATCTGTCCTTGTGGGGTGGGACTGCAGACCAGGTTTGTTTTGTTCATTGCTTTGGAGGCTTAAAGTCCTGGATGAGTAAACTCCTTAAGGCTGCTATGCTGGGAGTGTGGGTCCCTGCGAGGGCTCACGGCGGGGACAGGAGTCTGTCCGGGAGATCCAGGCTCAGGCCCATCCTTGTTCTAACACCCCATTCTTGCTGGAATAAACTCTGCGTCCAGAATTAGTCCCTGCTGAGAGTGATGCCAGTGACCTTGCCATCTCCCCACGGGTCCTGCCTCTTCAGCCCTCCACCACTTTCCAATGTTGCCGCACTGGGCACCAAGCGTCCAGCAGCAGGTGACCTCTTGGGGAGCAAGTCACACTCCAGCCTTCACCATCAGTTGCCATGACAACCTGCTTCCAGCCCCCTCAGGCTACTCTGTGCTTTCAGTGGGAAAGAAGGGCTGGGTGTGGTGCTCAGTTCTGCAGGAGCCACAGCAGCCCGCACCACAGCTTAGAAACATCAAGCCGCTAGGGTTTTATTGGTTCTGCCTTGCAAGCCCTGCACCACAGAGCTACCCCCTCCAGCAGAGGAGGACCGATTGTGATGCTTCAAAGCACTACAGTACAGATGCACAGATGTACAGAAGAGGAACACATGGTTGACTTTGCCCTTTTTAAAAACTTTCCACTGTCCTTCCAAAGCCTGGCAGCCTCATAGGCCACTGATTTAGTTAACCATTCCACTGGGGCTTGTCTGCCCACCCCTTTGCTGTGGTCACTGTCCTGGGAAGGGCACACACGGGCTTGTACTCCCTCGGGGCACTGCAGGTCTTCCAAGTCTCAACTGTTGAGCTGAGACATTCAGCCCATCCAGGCCCACAGCTCCCCTGACCCTAAGGAACCATGTGAGACTTGGGAACTGGACAAATCTGAGTTCAGCCTCCTGTTCTCAGGAGTGCTCTTCACTGTATTTTTTAAATCACATTTTATAAAGACCCTCACAAAACAGAACCCAACAACTGCTTCAGAAAATGGCCAAAAAGACTGGGTCAGTGTTCCAAGTATACGGGGAGGATTTTGAGAGAATTCAGGGATGCTATGGGTGATAAACTGTGTCAACCTGAGAAGCATAGCAATTTAACTGAGAGACTCAGCAGGGAGCCAGGGTCCTTACTTTGTAAACATCCTCAGCCTGGGCAAGAGGAGACACAGAGAAAGTGGGTGTGAGTGTTACACTTGCCCTGGGGCTTGGGGAGTGGCCTGCAAACACCATAAGGGAGAAGAATTGTGTGGTCTTTTTTGCTCTGTCTGCTGCCTTGAAGTGTTGCCCCAGTGCCATGCCACCCTGCCTTGGAGCTGGCTGATTATGGATTGAAACCTCCATAAACTTTAAGATAAATAAAACTTTCCTTTCTTTATTTTGGGTGTCAAGCATTTTATTCCAGCAACTAGAGACAAGTAAAAGTAACCAAGACAAGGACATGTATCTTTTACTGTCATCCACTTAAAAAACTTGATATACTAGCTATACACTGATCACACAATACAGTCATGCAAAGATGGGGGTAAGGTTTGGTATGTGATGTCAGAGCCACTCCTTTCTTCAGATGCTCCCTTGAAGATTGAGTGGGAGAGGAGACTGAAGGAGGGGCCGTGCACAAGGAGGGGTGCACAGGGTCCCCCTGCACCAGACCCCAGCGATGCCTACAATGCTGTGTGCCCTGAACACCCCACCGAGTACATTTCTCACAGTGAATTATTTTTTTCCCTTCTGCGTTTACACATTTGCCTGAAGCATTATGACCAGGGTTCTGGGTTCAACCTCATTTCTACTTGAACAACTAATATTGTCCAAACTTAATTCCCA